CTCCTCCTCCCCTCTGTATATACATAGTAGGTAAGCTTGACACTACCTCCCTCCTCCTCCCCTCTGTATATACATAGTAGGTAAGCTTGACACTACCCCCCTCCTCCTCCCCTCTGTATATACATAGTAGGTAAGCTTGACACTTCACAAATGAGCACAATTATTTACAAACATCATCTCTCAGTCTGGATCAGGATTCAAACCTGCTGAGTGCTCCACATCAAGGTGCACAGTACTTCTGCCTGGTTGTGCACCTTTTCTGCAGTGAGCACAGGTTCAAATCCTGTTTTACACTGAGAAATAATATTTATAGTAGGAAGAGATACTAGGTGAAGTGGAACAGTGGTGAACATACCTGGCTAAGGTACAGTGGAAGGCGCTATAATGAATCTCAATGTAAACATTCAGGGTAAATGACCAGGTAGAAAAAGACATGAAGTACAGTCACCTCTCTTATAAAGCTCCTCTACATGCAGTCACTTCTCTTATAAAGCTCATCTATATACAGTCACCTCTCTTATAAAGATCCTTTATATACAGTTACTTCTTATAAAGTTCCTCTTTATACAGTTTCCTTTCCTAGTTATATTTTATTATCAGAGAAACAGAGTAAATCTTCTATTTTTTGTGAATAAGAATTCAAAATGAAAATCAACTGTAATATAGGAGAGGACTGAGGAGGCCTGGGGAGTCCTTCTGAGGCCTGAGGAGGTTTGGGGAGGCTTGGGAAGGCCTGGGGAGACTTGGGAAGGCCTGGGGAGGCTTGGGGAGTCCTGGGGTGGCCTGGGGAGTCCTGGAAAGGCCTGAGGAGGCCTGGGGAGGCTAGGGGAGGTCTGGAGAGGCCAGGGAGGCCTGGGAAGGCCTGGGAAGGCCTGGGGAGGCCTGGGGAGGCCTAGAAATGTGACCAATGAACAAAAGAAATTTTGTTTTAGTGCCAACAATGTCTACATTGCTTGTTCTGGACTACAGTGGACCCCCGGATTACGTCGTCGTCGGATTTCATAATATTTGGAACAAGTAATGTTTTTTCGTCAAAATATTGACTCGGTGATCTTCACTTAACTCGGTAATAGTCATTTGTCCTGAACGCATCCATAAGGCAACAGCAGCCAGTGATCATGATCCCACGCGTTCATACGATACATTTCATATTATTCCATTCTTTTTAGTGCTTGCAACTGCTAAATAAACCAGCATGGGCCCAAAGAAAGTTCCTAGTGCCAGCCAGCCCTTTGGTAAAGGGCTGAGAGAGAGGGGTGAATGTGTCTTTTTCAGTGATTCTGCAATATGTATGATACTAAAGCAGCAGGAGTCGATAAAGGCTATAGCGCCAGCCAGCGATAAAGTGTAGCATTAACAGTGCAGCAAGTAAGTTAAGCGATTAATCAGTAGAAAAAGGACAGCACAAAAGCTGACTCCTCCATTGTTGTTGGAGGTATATAGGGCAACTGACTAACACTGCTGCCTCTGTTGCCTCTTGCTGCTGCCTTCACCACCACTATGTAAGGCTTATCTTTCAGTGGCCTTTATACACCCAACAACAAACAACACACCACCACTTGTGACATTCTTAATGTCATATTTTATTCATTCTAGAGTACAGTGGAACCTCAAATTTCAAACATATCGCTTATCGAACTCTTCGAAAATCAACTGCTTTTTTCAAACCAACTTTGTCCCCATTATCGAACTCGCTCCTTTTATCGAACCGCCAGGTACCAGACCTGTCCGCCAGCCTGCTCTGTCCGTGTCCCCGTGCAGGTGCCGTGAGCCTGTCTGGCTTTGTTGATGCTTGAGTGAACACTAACCTGCAGTCTCATTCAAACGATTAATTCATTGTGTTTAGTGCTTGTGGGACTGTGAAATAAGCTACCATGGGCCCAAAGAAACTTGCTAGTGGTACCCCTGTGGTAAAGAAAGTAAAAAACACCATAGATGTGAAGTGAGTGGCGAGGATGTGGAAGAGTTGGTGAAGGACCACAGGGAAGAGCTAACCACTGAAGAGCTGGAAGAGCTAACCACTGAAAAGCTGGAAGAGCCTCATCTGGAACAGTATCAGACCACAGCTCAGGAACTTGCTTCAGAGGAGGAGGAAGAGGGAGTGGATGAGGTGCCTTCTTCAAAGATTAAGGAGATTTGTGCCAGTGGAATGATGTTCAAATGTTTGTGCAGAAGTACCACCCTGAGCAAGCTGAAACAAGCCATCTTCACAACAAGTTCAGTGACAGAACCATGTTCCATTTTAGGGAAATCTTAGAGGCGCCAGAAACAGAGGACTGTGGGCAATTATTTTGTGAGACAGGGGTCCAGTGACTCTCAAGCTGGTCCTAGTGGCAATAAAAGACAGAGAAGGGAAGTAACCCCAGAGAGGGCTTTGATACCTAAAGTCCTAATGGAGGGGGATTCCCCTGCCAAACACTAACCCCAACTCCCTCTCTCCTCCTCCCTATCTTCCAGATGCCATCACCAATCTTCAATAAAGGTAAGTAAAAATATTATTTTATATGTTTATTTAAATTTATTAATAATTGTACACTATATTTGTTCTGTGTATGTAAAACTATAATGTAATGATATCTATAAAATGTATTTTTTGTGAATATTTTTGGGTTTCTGGAATGGATTAATTGTATTTCCATTATTTCTTATGGGAAATATTGCTTCGAATTTAGAACTAGCTCCTGGAAAGGATTAAGTTCGAAATTTGAGGCTCCACTGTATATATCATGTTTCTATGTTATTAATATTGTTTATTATGTCATATATGAATTTTGCTAGATAAATAAGCCACAGAGCTGATATTAGTGTCATACTAAGGCACTATCTTGTCCTTTCTCCCAACACAATTCCTAACATACGTAAGAGACAGACCTCTCTGGAACACTTTTTTGAGTGACAGGGGTCCAGTGACTCAAGCTGGTCCTAGTGGCATTAAAAAACAAAGAAGGGAAGTAACCCAGGGTAAGGACTTGGTACCTGAAGTCTTTAAGGAAGGGGATTCCCCTTCCAAACAACTGTAAACTCCTCCACCCTCTCCCCTCCTCCCATCACCTTGTCATCAATAAAGGCAAGTGTGATGTTATTATTGGTTTATTCTTCATGTATCATTGTTTTCTGTGTAGGTAAATGTATATTTCATGTAGAAAACATTTTTTTAATAATTTTGGTTATCTGAAACGGATTAATTAGATTTACATTATTTCTTACGGGGAAAATTAATTCGGAAATCATCAGATTCGGGTTTAATCACTCTCTCTGGAATGGATTAATTACAAAAACCAGGGGTCCACTGTATTAATAAACTGGCATATTTTAATTTTATGTAAAACTGGCCAAATTACTGAATTTTGATCATTTTATTGGGTAGTTGAATGGGCAATTTTTTGGTCTCAATTGACAGAATGGAAGGCATGCTAGAGAAACAACTACAAAACCAGGGTACGGGTGGGGCTTGAACTCGCCCAGACTGCAAACTTTGCTCCAGCGTAATTCTGTAAGTTTTCCATCTCATTTCATACTTTTGGTGTCATTACCTTCAGAAAAAGATTCTCTACCATTTCAGAAAAAATAATTTTTTTTTTTTAAATTTTGGACAATGAGACAAAGTTTCATTTCGAGGTCTGGACAGTGAGAGTGTTAGTGGCTGGTTTTGAGAAGGACCTGCCCAGCATGGGCCAGTAGGCCCGCTGCAGTGTACCTCGATTCTCAACTTTAAAGCCTCTTTTATGCCCTACTCTTCATCAACACATTCATCTCCACACACACTACTCACCCCATTCCTCAACTCCTTTCCAACTCTCTCAATTATAACCTTGTTCACTCCACAACACCACTAATTCCAAAATTTTAAATGTTCACTGATACCGGCACCACACACTGCTCTCCAACATCAGATATCAACAAAAACCTAATCAAACAGGTAATCTCATTTATGTTCACATTAACAAATTAAGCATGAAAACATATAAATCTACCAAGGCAGCTAAATCATAAGTTTTTTTTTTTTTTTTTTTTTTTTTCAACAAGTCGGCCGTCTCCCACCGAGGCAGGGTGACCCAAAAAAGAAAGAAAATCCCCAAAAAGAAAATACTTTCATCATCATTCAACACTTTCACCACACTCGCACATTATCACTGTTTTTGCAGAGGTGCTCAGAATACAACAGTCTAGAAGCATAAACATATAAAGATACACAACATATCCCTCCAAACTGCCAAATATCCCAAACCCCTCCTTTAAAGTGCAGGCATTGTACTTCCCATTTCCAGGACTCAAGTCCGACTATATGAAAATAACCGGTTTCCCTGAATCCTTCACTAAATATTACCCTGCTCACACTCCAACAGATCGTCAGGTCCCAAGTACCATTCGTCTCCATTCACTCCTATCTAACACGCTCACGCACGCTTGCTGGAAGTCCAAGCCCCTTACCCACAAAACCTCCTTTACCCCCTCTCTCCAACCCTTTCGAGGACGACCCCTACCCCGCCTTCCTTCCCCTATAGATTTATATGCTTTCCATGTCATTCTACTGTGATCCATTCTCTCTAAATGACCAAACCACCTCAACAACCCCTCTTCTGCCCTCTGACTAATACTTTTATTAACTCCACACCTTCTCCTAATTTCCACACTCCGAATTTTCTGCATAATATTTACACCACACATTGCCATTAATATCTTTGTGAAAGTTACATTACTAACTACTAGTGAAAACTAATTACACCTCTCAATGTATATACACTGAGAGGTGTATGTCTTTCACTGTATATATACTGAGAGGTGTATGTCTGTGTGTATATACTGAGAGGTGAGTGTCTCAGTGTATATACACTAAGAGTTTGCTTTAATTACTATTTTAGGGCCTAAAATATTTTTGACTATTAGTGAAGGGGTTACATGCTGCCTTAATGATCCTAGTGTAGTAGATAGACTTTAAACTCCATTAACTAACCAAACATGAATGACTATGACAACTACTGGTAGGAGCGACAACTCACGTCATCAGCTGGGTCCAGTCCCATAAGGCCAGGCAATCGTCTCTTGCGTGATCTACGAAATGAAGGCGGAGTTTCTGGGGGCAACAGACCTCTACTCACTGCCCGTACAAACTTGTGTCTCCTGCGTCGTGCCAGTAAGGTGGTAGCGATGATCTGTCCTCGTGGCGTCACCAAGTACTGACGAGCAACCATCTCCGATAGCTTCTCCGTAACTTCTTCCAGTTCATTCTAAAATTATAATACACAAAGAATAAGTCACAGCACCATGGCTGGCACAATACATAAGTAACTGCACTCAAAAGAGACAAACTTATGACAATGTTTTGCCCCAACTTCATCCACCAAAAAGCAACAATACTTGAAAATCACCTCATCTCCCTAATGTAACTAAACCAACACTACGTTATACCAAACATAACCAGTTCATCTAACTCCGTCCCTGTTCTTCCAGTCTTCCACAAACTCCCATAGAAAATTAATTACTTATCTTATTCAGTCATATTTCTACCGAAACTAATACTGTCCTGTATCTTCACCCTCTCTGTCAATCGATCCATAAATTGAAGATACTGAGTCAGTTTGAAACTGCTTAAGAAATCCCACTTAACTGAAGATCACTGAATGTATCTGAAGTATTAATGTACACACAAAACTGTACTCTTGTTCACTTAGCTACCTCTCATTTCTGTACATTTAACCCGTAAACGGTCCAAACGTATATATACGTTTTTTCAACATTTGAAAGTATGCAAAAAAAGTAGATCTTCTTTTTGTTTTTTTACATTTGAAAATGTGTAAAAAAACTTTGATCTACTTTTTTTTTTGTTATATTTGAAAATATGTAAAAAACGTAGATCTACTTTTGAAGCACTACACATGTGAACGTAGATCTGCTTGGACCGTTTATGGGTTAAAAACTCCTACTTAATAACCTGTGTGTATTAGAAGTGATCAAGGTCCCAGGACCAAATGTTTTCTAATAAATGTCCTGGTGTTTGCTTACATGCCTTTTTAAACTAAGGAAACATTACACAAATAACCTGCACATAGCAAACTAACACTCACAACGATGTTTCAGTTGAACTGGAGCCATTAACTAGTTAATGGTTCAAGTCGAACCCAAACATCGTCACAAGTCTCAGTCTCTTGTGTGAGGGTTATATGTGTATTTAAATTGCAAGTTTAACTGTTTCTCCTGAATCCCTTCATCAATATGACCCTACTCACACCCCAACATCAAGTCAAACCCAGAAATACACTTGTCTTTAAATTCACACCTGCATGTACTCAAAGATGGTCTTGTTATAGCCGTTATCTTCTAAGTAATAACCATACACATAAGATCCACAGAGGACCCTTCGTGCCTTCAGCAGTTCCTTCACACCCTCTTCAACAAAGCGAGTGCCCTTTTCAACTGCAGCTGAAAAAAGGGAAAACACTATTAGTGAAGAATTTCTAAAAATGTTTAAATATATATACAGTGGTACCTCGGGATACGAACAGCTCAAAACTTGAGCAATTATGTAAGTGTATTTATGTAAGTGCTTTTGTAAGTGTATTTTTGGGGGTCTGAAACAGATTAATCTAATTTACATTATTCCTTATGGGAACAAATTCGTTCGGTATTGCCACTCGAACAGCCTTCTGGAACGAATTAAATTCATATCCCGAGGTACCGCTGTGTTACCAACTCCATAAAAAAGTGGAGAAGAATCCTTCCTCGGTATGTCATGTGTGTTGTAAGAGGCAACTGAAATGCTGGCAGCAAAGTGCTAGTAACACCTTCTAATGAATAAATTACTAAATGCTGGCAGCAAGGTGCTAATAACACCTACTGTATAAATTACTAAATGCTGGGAGCAAGGTGCTAGTAACACTTTCTGTATAAATTATTAAATGCTGACAGCAAGGTCCTAGTAACACCTTCTACTGTACAAATTACTAAATGTAAAAACAAAAGTTTTGTTTCTTCTTCCTCAGGTCACACTACCTTGGTGGGGGATGACCGTTGTGTTAAAAAATAGTATGAAGATTTATATTGCCTTGCATAAACCTGTCGTACAACATCTTAACCCTTTCAGGATCCAGACCCCCAATCTGAAACTTGTCCACAGGGTCCAAGAATCTCCAAAATAAATTTTGTTATTTTTTTCTTGTGAAATGGTAGAGAATCTTTTTTCTGAAGGTAATAAAACAAAAAGTACAAAATTTGATGGAAAATTTACAAAATTATGCTCTCACGAATTTTGCTGTGTCAGTGATATTTATGCATCAGAGATTTTGCCCACTTTGACTCCCATTTTAGGCCAGTTATACATTATTCCAATCGACCAAATTCTTAGTTATTTCACTAGTAATCAACTGTTTCAACTACCCAGCAGTGATCAGAAATTGGTAATTTGTCTAATTTCACACAAAGTTCAAAAAATTCCAATTTCAAAGTAGGGTCCAGACTAAACCACACAGGCATTCATCGCACTAAAATACGTAACATTTCTTCTGTTTATCAGTTACATTTCCTGGTTTTACACATGAATTCCATTTTTATTCTTATTCACACAATGAATTTTTATTCACACCAAAAAATGGAAGATTTACTGTTATTCAATATTGGAATAATTGTATAAATAATATCAGTACATTCGTGAATATACATTAGACCCACCAGCTGATGTGTACTGGAAGTGTGATGTGATTTGTTTATCTTTGAACATCGGCAAAATCTGAACACTTCCGCTACTTTGAGCTCAGTTTCAAGTCATTTTCACTAATAAAACAATATATCTTCCATTCTATCAAATGAGATCAAGAAACCGAGAATACAACTGTAAAAAACATATGAACAAACACTGCAAACTCAGTAATACGGTTTAGTTGTTCTCATTATGCACTGCGTGTTGCAGGATTTGTTTTATGTGGTGCACACTTACCACATACATGTATTCTCTCATATCTAGGCCCAAATTTACAGCTCACAGTTTATGTGAGTGAGCTGAGTTCATGGCGTAGAACTATGGCTTGGACCCTGGCTTCAAAGCAGTTGAACTACGGGACAGACCCCCAAAGGGTTAATACCCGTCATACAACGCATTAACACCTGCCACACAACCCACCTTGACCTTGTTGTTCCTGAGAGGGCAGTGACGTAGCCAGCACTTCCATCTTGTCTCGTGCAGTCTTCAACAAAGGTTCTTCCATTTTCAGAGAATTCTGATGGTTCTTGAATCGTGTATAGTAATGGATGAAGCGATTGAGCTCCTGCATTTGATGATTGCGAACCGTCGCCTGTGTAAACACAGCACTTTCAAGATATGGGTTGAGTCGGTACTCTTATAAAGTCACTGTACACGCTGCAATTTTTTTGAAAATACAATGGAAAGTGTGTTGAAAACTGAATTATGTGTTCTGAGGACTTTTTATGAGCTATTTATTAATCCTTTAACTGTGTCCAACGTACTAGCACTCACCACAGTTGCCAACTAGTGATCATTTTTTTTACCAAATTCAACACGCCATAAAATCATAAGTTTTTATCAGATTGTGATCATTTTAGTCTTATTTGATTCAGAAAGACAAACTCTTATCTAACTGTTTGAAAAATATTTTTTTATTTTTCAAAATCTTCCCACAGTTAACCCTTAAACTGTCGAAATGAAGATCTACGTTCACGTGCTCCAAATGTAGATCTACATTTTTTTATATGCTTTCAAATGTAAAAAAATAAGGTAGGTCTACATAGATCTACATTTGGATAGTTTAAGGGTTATACGGTTAATTGTATTTAAAAAATTGAGGTATCTAAAAGAACTTTATGAGAGCTCTGAGTGTATAATATTATCTTTATGACCAGATGAAGCTCTATTTTGAGTGCTATCAAATTAAAGTTCTACTCAGAAAGCTGGCAAAATTAAAGCTCTATTCTGAAAGTCATCCCAATGCTAGAGCTAGAGTTTGTCACAGCCACACTGGTGGGAGATTCATCTGTAAAAACTTGAGTTTGTGGTCACAGTGGTGCCTATCCTAACCTTTCTATGGTGTATAAATATACCTAGTTGGATAAATCTTATTGTAGCCAGCTGGCCCAGTGGATAATGCACCGGTCTGGAGTTTTATGACTCATTCCTCCCAAGTTTAATCCCCACCTGTACCCTGGTTTTCTTGAAGTAAGTTTGTTATGGTCAGTCTCTCAGCTCTGAGAAGTGTTCAGCTCCATCCTCTTGAACAATGTTCAAGACAACAGAGGTGAACAGACACCTAAGTGTTACCCATGTGTCTCCCTGATCTACTGGTCACTAAACCATAACTTTATTATAATACAACATGAAATTAGCTTGATTCTGAAAGTGGTCAAGATATTAAACAAAACTCTTCCATGTCTTGCACATATTAAATCATAATGTAATGAAAAAATATATTAAAACCTCTGTATTATACCATCACATAACCTATCACAAGAACAAGGCACCTCATAACTCTTTAGTGTCTGAGAAATGTTAAAAAACATTTTAATGATCTTCCATAGGAAAGTGGAAAAGAATTCTTCCTCCGGAAGCCGTGCGTGTCATAAGAGGCGACTAACATGCCGGGAGCAAGGGCCTAGTAACCCCTTCTCCTGTATACATTACTAAATTTAAAAAGAGAAACTTTCGTTTTTCTTTTTAGGCCACCCTGCCTTGGTGGGATACCGCCAGTAAGCTAAAAAAATGAATGATAAAATATTGTATAATCACAAGAACAAGGCATCTCAGAGCTCTTCAATGCCTGATAAATATAAAGAATTTGGATAAGTCTACCCGAAATGCCTAGGCATGCTATTACCCTCTGTAATTAATATTTTATATGTAAACCAACGAAATTAAGGAAATAAACATTTGCATTTTCATTTTTCATTTCAAGAAAGGTTATAATCATGAGAGTATAAGATAAGAGAGAGAGAGAAAGAGAGAAAGGGAGAGAGAGAGAGACACACACACACCTCAGACAAGAGCACTCCCAGCTTCTCATCAGCTTTACTCTGAGCATCAAAACGGTTACACCTGAAGTATCCTCCAGTAGCTGACGAATGTTTCTTCCAGCTCTCCAGACACACCCAACAGAAGTCAAACTTACACTGAAACAAACAATATTATTATACTTACTGCCAAGTATACTTGACACAGTATACTGAGAGCAGTTTACAAAAGCATACACTATATATACTTAAACAGTATTATTAATCAACTTGTTGGTTTTTCTAAACTATTAATTCACATCCTCTCGAACACCAAATTTCTGGCATTTTGATGCAGCAATTTCTTCAAAAGGGAAGTACACTTGATACATGTATTAACACTGTAGTAAGCCTACTGGCCCATACTAGGCAGGTCCTTCTCTAAACCAAACATTCCCACCCACCCACTTGTACAACCTTGCACCAAAGTTATCCATGAATTTTCTTCAATACATCAGTTAGTAATTAAACCCAGTCCTTTTCTCTCATATATTTGTCTAATATCTTTCTAAACCTAGCCAAGATAATAGCTTCTATTACCCTAGCTGGCAGTAAACTTAGCCAAGATCATAGCTCCTATTACCCTAGCTGGTAGTAAACTTAGCCAAGATCATAGCTCCTATTACCCTAGCTGGTAGTAAACTTAGCCAAGATCATAGCTCCTATTACCCTAGCTGGTAGTAAACCTAGCCAAGATAATAGCTCCTATTACCCTAGCTGGTAGTAAACCTAGCCAAGATCATAGCTCCTATTACCCTAGCTGGTAGTAAACCCAGCCAAGATCATAGCTCCTATTACCCTAGCTGGTAGTAAACCTAGCCAAGGTCATAGTTTATATTACCCTAGCTGGTAGTAAACCTAGCCATGATCATAGCTCCTATTACCCTAGCTGGTAGTAAACCCAGCCAAGATCATAGCTCCTATTACCCTAGCTGGTAGTAAACCTAGCCAAGGTCATATATTACCCTAGCTGGTAGTAAACCCAGCCAAGATCATAGCTCCTATTACCCTAGCTGGCAGTAAACCCAGCCAAGATCATAGCTCCTATTACCCTAGCTGGTAGTAAACCCAGCCAAGATCATAGCTCCTATTACCCTAGCTGGTAGTAAACCCAGCCAAGATCATAGCTCCTATTACCCTAGCTGGTAGTAAACCTAGCCAAGGTCATATATTACCCTAGCTGGTAGTAAACCCAGCCAAGATCATAGCTCCTATTACCCTAGCTGGCAGTAAACCCAGCCAAGATCATAGCTCCTATTACCCTAGCTGGCAGTAAACCCAGCCAAGATCATAGCTCCTATTACCCTAGCTGGTAGTAAACCCAGCCAAGATCATAGCTCCTATTACCCTAGCTGGTAGTAAAACCCAGCCATGATCATAGCTCCTATTACCCTAGCTGGTAGTAAACCCAGCCAAGATCATAGCTCCTATTACCCTAGCTGGTAGTAAACCCAGCCAAGGTCATAGCTCCTATTACCCTAGCTGGTAGTAAACCCAGCCAAGATCATAGCTCCTATTACCCTAGCTGGTAGTAAACCCAGCCAAGGTCATAGCTCCTATTACCCTAGCTGGTAGTAAACCTAGCCAAGGTCATAGCTCCTATTACCCTAGCTGGTAGTAAACCCAGCCAATGTCATAGCTCCTATTACCCTAGCTGGTAGTAAACCTAGCCAAGGTCATAGCTCCTATTACCCTAGCTGGTAGTAAACCCAGCCAAGGTCATAGCTCCTATTACCCTAGCTGGCAGTAAACCCAGCCAAGATCATAGCTCCTATTACCCTAGCTGGTAGTAAACCCAGCCAAGATCATAGCTCCTATTACCCTAGCTGGTAGTAAACCTAGCCAAGGTCATAGCTCCTATTACCCTGCCTGGCAGACTGTGCCACTCATCGACAGCTCTGTCTGAAAATCAATACTGACCTACATTCTCTCTAAATCTAAATTTATCTAATTTAAATCCATTATCTCTGGTTCCTATTTGATTCAACATCCTCAGCACTTTATGTATATAGATTTTCTTTATGCCCATACACTCATATACTTCAACGATTACTTTACAATTATAGGTCACTACGTACAGGGAAGTAGAAATAAGTGATTCTCTGTACATATTGACCTCCACAACAGAAGGTCAAAATACTGAGAAGCCCTCTCCCTCTCACTAGTTTGTTCATAAGTACAGCCTCTCCTTACCTAATTATGAAGTTCCGTTCCTAAGACCATGTCAGTAAACGAATTCATCACTATAATGGTAGTGGGTTTGTGTCAAATATCTTTGACGTGCTGTTGGAGTGTGAGCAAAGTAACATTTATGAAGGGATTCAGGGAAACCGGCAGGCCGGACTTGAGTCCTGGAGATGGGAAGTACAGTGCCTGCACTCTGAAGGAGGGGTGTTAATGTTGCAGTTTAAAAACTGTAGTGTAAAGCACCCTTCTGGCAAGACAGTGATGGAGTGAATGATGGTGAAAGTTTTTCTTTTTCGGGCCACCCTGCCTTGGTGGGAATCGGCCGGTGTGATAATAAAATAATAAAATCTTTGATATTATTTTCATGTCACCTTTGTACCATTTATAACATTTCTGGTATATTTTTAAATGTACTGTATGTTGTAATAAACAGAATAGAGGAAATCGGCTCTAGTATACATCATTTAGGCATGCATACTGGTCAGAGAGCCCGTCGTAAGTCTGAGGTGTCAGTAAACGAGTATGTCGCTAAGTGAGGAGAGGTTGTACTGACCTCTCACATCTGGAGGTCAAAATGTTGAGAGGACCTCTCCCTCTCACTAGTTCATTTGTGAGTCTTGACCTCATGAATACCACAGACCTAGGCTAAAGTTCTGCCAGTAACAATGATTATATAGATGTTTAATAATAGAGAGTTGATGATCTTTAATTGTTTTTTGCATGTCCGCCGAGACAGTAACCCAGAAATGAGGAAATGTATGCAGTGTCAGGAAACAAGGAAATGTATTCAATGTTAGGAAATGTAGGCAGTGTTAGAAAATGTATTCAGTGATAGGAAATGTATTCAGTGTTAGGAAATGTATGTATTGTAAGGAAATGTATTCAGTGTTAGGAAATGTATTCAGTGTTAGGAAATGTATGTATTGTAAGGAAATGTATTCAGTGTTAGGAAATGTATTCAGTGTTAGGAAATGTATGTATTGTAAGGAAATGTATTCAGTGTTAGGAAATGTATTCAGTGTTAGGAAATGTATGTAATGTTAGTAAATGTAGCAATGATACTGCTATAATTCTAATGTTATAATTCTAATGCTATAATAATAATAATATCTTTATTTCTACCAGTACATGTACAAGGTATACCAGTACATGTACAAGGTATACCAGTACATGTACAAGGTATACCAGTACATGTACAAGGTATACCAGTACATGTACAAGGTATACCAGTACATGTACAAGGTATACCAGTACATGTACAAGGTATACCAGTACATGTACAAGGTATACCAGTACATGTACAAGGTATACAGACCATAGCTGACATCAGTAACATACTACTATATAGAAAGTCGCTTGTTATGCTGAGCATTTCCCGCAAATTAGGTCAATTTTGTCCTGGAATGCAACCCACACCAGTCCACTAACACCCAGGTACCTATTTTTTCCCAAAGGGTGAACAAGGAAAACTGATGTAAGGAAACATGCCCAATGTTTTCACCCTCACCAGGAATTGAACCCGGACTGTGTGAATCTAGAGCTTTTGCCACTAGGCAAATTCTAATGTTATAATTCTAATGCTATAATTTTATAATATAACAATGATATAGAATGAATTTTACTAGTAAGATCAATAATTTCATTTACAGAAACATTACAGTTTATACAGGAGCTTTATAAGAGAGTTTGGGCTGCGTATCAAGACCAAACAAACCAGGCAACGAGTGGGGTTCAAACCCATGGCAAGAGTGTCCTGAACAGATAAAAACAGTGAAAAACTCACATTTATAAATTATGTATTATTAGCAAAAAAAAACAGGTAATTAATACACAAATAACCTGGAGATAAGAGAGTGAAACTCAGGAGGAAGTTTCAGTCCAACCTGGAACATTAACTAGTCACACAACAGTGAGAAGATAAGGGTGCTAGAAAATACACAAGGGGGGAGGGTAGAATGGGAGGATAATAAAATACATGGATTAGGAAGCTGCAAAATTGAAAGGTTTGACTGAAGACACACCAGATAAGATGACAAATTAAAGGGTTCAACTGTAGTCACACACAAGAATGTGCCTTGGAACATTTTATGGAGTAACACACAAAAAAATATACCTAGAAACACTTCATGTAGTAACACACAAAAACACACCTTGGAACACTTCATGTGGTTGCAACCTTCGTTCTTCTGGATGGGACTCTTGCAGTTGGGACACTTCCTGTAGCAAGAACTTACCTTGGAACACTTCATGTGGTTGCAACCTTCATTCTTCTGGATGGGACTCTTGCAGTTGGGACACTTCCTGTAGCAAGAACTTACCTTGGAACACTTCATGTGGTTGCAACCTTCGTTCTTCTGGATGGGACTCTTGCAGTTGGGACACTTCCTGTAGCAAGAACTTACCTTGGAACACTTCATGTGGTTGCAACCTTCATTCTTCTGGATGGGACTCTTGCAGTTGGGACACTTCCTGTAGCAAGAACTTACCTTGGAACACTTCATGTGGTTGCAACTTTCGTTCTTCTGGATGGGACTCTTGCAGTTGGGACACTTCCTGTAGCAAGAACTTACCTTGGAACACTTCATGTGGTTGCAACCTTCATTCTTCTGGATGGGACTCTTGCAGTTGGGACACTTCCTGTAGCAAGAACTTACCTTGGAACACTTCATGTGGTTGCAACCTTCGTTCTTCTGGATGGGACTCTTGCAGTTGGGACACTTCCTGTAGCAAGAACTTACCTTGGAACACTTCATGTGGTTGCAACCTTCATTCTTCTGGATGGGACTCTTGCAGTTGGGACACTTCCTGTAGCAAGAACTTACCTTGGAACACTTCATGTGGTTGCAACCTTCGTTCTTCTGGATGGGACTCTTGCAGTTGGGACACTTCCTGTAGCAAGAACTTACCTTGGAACACTTCATGTGGTTGCAACCTTCATTCTTCTGGATGGGACTCTTGCAGTTGGGACACTTCCTGTAGCAAGAACTTACCTTGGAACACTTCATGTGGTTGCAACCTTCGTTCTTCTGGATGGGACTCTTGCAGTTGGGACACTTCCTGTAGCAAGAACTTACCTTGGAACACTTCATGTGGTTGCAACCTTCATTCTTCTGGATGGGACTCTTGCAGTTGGAACACTTCCTGTAGCAAGAACTTACCTTGGAACACTTCATGTGGTTGCAACCTTCGTTCTTCTGGATGGGACTCTTGCAGTTGGGACACTTCCTGTAGCAAGAACTTACCTTGGAACACTTCATGTGGTTGCAACCTTCGTTCTTCTGGATGGGACTCTTGCAGTTGGGACACTTCCTGTAGCAAGAACTTACCTTGGAACACTTCATGTGGTTGCAACCTTCATTCTTCTGGATGGGACTCTTGCAGTTGGGACACTTCCTGTAGCAAGAACTTACCTTGGAACACTTCATGTGGTTGCAACCTTCATTCTTCTGGATGGGACTCTTGCAGTTGGGACAAGGCTTGGAGTTGGTTACCAGCCAGAGGAAGTTAGCAGCATCTTCAGTCTCACCGGAGCTGATGCGGAGTTCTTCCGGCTTAATTTCTGCCACTTTACTTTGCCACTCCAGCCATTGTTCACACCCTGAGGGAGAGTGAGCCTCACCAAGACACTCCCTGAAATAAATGTACTCATAACAAATTTATTACCAACAAACTTTTGTTAAAAAATTTATTACCAACAAACTCACTGTTAAAAATCTTTTTAAAGAAAATGTGTAACAAGAGAATGTGCAACAAGAGAATGTGTAACAAGAGAATGTGTAACAAGAGAATGTGTAACAAGAGAATGTGTAACAAGAGAATGTTTGGTGCTTGCTTGGTCAACCAGGTTGTTGCTGCCAGTGTGCTACAAGCCTACACATCCATCACAGCCTGGTTGATCCACCAATCACGAACATTTCACGAGTCATTCTCCTACATTCTCATCATTATATTTTTCACGAGACCATAAGAAAGAACACTGGGGTAGGCCTACTGGCCCACAGCTATCATAGGACTACAGCTATTATACAATTAGATCTATTAAAATGTTTGTGATGTTACAGGAATGTTACCATGATGTACAGTGTAAGGAATGTTACAGTGATGTACAGTGAAGCCCAGGATAAATTATCACTGGAAATGGTATTCCTGCTTCCAACTGTTTTGATACTAGTTGATTAATAAATGTTGGCAGCAAGGTGCTAGTAACACCTTCTATTGTATAAACTACTAGATGCTAGGAGAAAGGTGCTAGTAACACTTACTGTATAAACTACTAGATGCTAGAAGGTGCTAGTAACACCTTCTATTGTATAAACTACTAGATGCTAGGAGAAAGGTGCTAGTAACACTTACTGTATAAACTACTAGATGCTAGAAGGTGCTAGTAACACCTATTGTATAAACTACTAGATGCTAGAAAGAAGGTGCTAGTAACACTTACTGTATAAACTACTAGATGCTAGAAGGTGCTAGTAACACTTTCTACTGTATAAACTACTAGATGCTAGGAGGAAGGTGCTAGTAACACTTACTGTATAAACTACTAGATGCTAGAAGGTGCTAGTAACACTTTCTACTGTATAAACTACTAGATGCTAGGAGGAAGGTGCTAGTAACACTTACTGTATAAACTACTAGATGCTAGAAGGTGCTAGTAACACCTTCTACTGTATAAACTACTAGATGCTAGGAGGAAGGTGCTAGTAACTCCTAAATGTAAAAAGAAGAAAAACTTTCATATGATACTTGTAAGGTCACTCTGCCTCAGTAGGAGATAGCCGGGGTGTTGAAAAACCTATCTTTGATGTACCTTTGACAGGTTTCCAGAGTTTTGCTACTCCTGCAGCCTAGCCCAGGGCCAAGCTTGTCTGGCACTTCCTTGATCAACCAGGCTGTTGCTGTGAGTAGCTTGCTGCCCCCATATTCTTCACAGCCTGTTTGATCTTGCACAGGTAAGACTACAAAGTGTAACTGTGGTATCAGCAGGCTGGTGTAGGCCTATATGCCACTAGCAGCACTTTTTTTTTAACAAAACGGTTGTCTCCCACTAAAGTAGGGTGAACCTAATGAAGAAACACCTTCACCATCATTCACTCCATCACTGTCTTGCCAGAGAAGTGCTGACACTACAGGACAGATGACCCTGCAAATTGCAAATATCACCACCTCTCCTTCAACATACAGGCACTGTACTTCTCACCACCACCCCTCCAACATACAGGCACTGTCCTTCCCACCACCACCACCACCACCATCACCACCCCTCCTTCAGAGTGCAGGAACTATACTTCCCACCACCACTACCACCATCACCACCCCTCCTTCAGAGTGCAAGCACTGTACTTCCCACCTCCAGGACTCAGGGCCAGTTAACCAGTTTCCCCTGAATCCCTTCTCAAGATGTTTTTGTCCTCACACTCCAACAGTACATCAAATCCCAAAAACCATTTGCCCCCATCCACTCCTGCCTAGTATGCTCAAACATGCCTGCTGGATGTCCAAGAAGCAATATACCTTCATAAATGTTATACCAACACTACATGTATGTTCCTATATATCAACACAACATACATATCTTGCTATACTAACACTACATTCTTCTTTCTTTCAACAAACCGGCAGTATCCCACCACAGCAGGGTGGCCCAAAAAGAAAAACTAAAATTTCTCTTAACTTTAGTAATGTATACAGGAGAAGGGGTTACTCGCCCCTTGCTCCAGGCATTTTAACTGCCTCTTACAACACGCCGCATGGCTTATGGAGGAAGAATTCTGTTCCACTTCCCCACGGAGATAAGAGAAAATAAACAAGAATAAGAACTAGTAAGAAAATAGAAGAAAACTCAGAGGGGTGTATATATATATATGCTTGTACATGCATGTGTAGTGTGACCTAAGTGTAAGTAGAAGTAGCAAGATGTACCTGAAATCTTGCATGTTTATGAGACAGAAAAAAGACACCAGTAATCCTACCGTCATGCAAAACGAATACAGGCTTCCGTTTTACACTCATTTGGCAGTACGGTAGTACTTCCATGGGTGGTTGCTGTCTACCAACCTACTACCTACACTAACACTACATATATGTTCCTATATACCAACTCTACATATATATGTTACTACATCAACAATACAATAAATTCCCCCCTTAAAAACACTTGTCTGATACAACTTATCACTTCATACAAACATAATTAAACTAATAACCCATAAAGTTACTTTTCCAAAGTGAATTAAAAGGCACAGTTTCAACATCCTTACCAGCAAAAAAAATGGCCATTGCCGCAGTCGACGGCGTGAGAGGTCTTCGGGGGCGGCTTAGTGTTGGGGAAATAAAAGGGTTGTGTTTCCAGTTCAGCCTCGGGGAACTTGACGGCCCTGCCGCAGCCGGGCAGCGGGCACCACTTGATGGTCTTGTTACGCTCCACGAATGCCTGAAATGTTCATATGTTCCTTTATTACTCCAAGATAATAAGCAGAAATTAGACATGTGAACAACACCTGTGTATCTGTACCATGTACAACACCTGTATATCTGTACCCTGAACAACACTGCATATCTGTACCATGTACAATACCTGTGTATCCATTCCTTGTACAACACCTGCATGTACCTTATACAACACCTGCATATCTGTACCCTGAACAACAATGCATATCTGTACCATGTACCTGTGTATCCATTCCTTGTACAACACCTGCATGTACCTTATACAACACCTGTGTATCTGTACCCTGAACAACACCTGCATATCTGTACTTTGTAGACCAAACAAAGCAAACACTGTCACTTCTTTCTACAATATGCAATGTTTAGTTTACACATATTAAAATACTGCTAAGGTGTAAGGTGTTGGGAGCAGTAAGAGAATTAAAACCTATGTTGTGCATGTCAATTGTCTTTTGTTTGTTGTTGCTGGGGACCTTAGAGAGAGAGCATTTGTTATTGTTACTCTGGCCTTCATTTACCCTACAACCACAACGTAAACACAAAAGGGACGTCCCAATGTGCACTCTGTGTATACTGGTACAGACTTAATGTCTTGCCCAGCTATGGTGCTGATGTAGTCACTGCTGCCGCAAATGTTCACAAAGTAATCCACTCCTTTACAAAGATTTTTTTCGTTAATTCAGTCATTTACGAAGATTTAATTTGGTCATTTACAATTTTTCTAATTTAATAATTTACAAAGATTTTTTCATTAATTCAGTCATTTACAAAGATTTTTTTTCATTAATTCAGTCATTTATAAAGATTTTTTCATCAGTTCAATCATTTACAAAGATTTTTTCATTAATTCAGTCATTTACAAAGATTTAATTTATTCAGTAATTTGTTAATTAAGTAATTTTGGAATATTTAATTAATTCAATTAATATTTAGAAAGGTTCCTAACACCAACTGAATAATAATAATACGTAATAATACAGCCTCTCCTCACTTAGCAACATACTTATTGCACTTAAAACCAGCTCTCTGACCAGTATGCAGACATAAATAATGTATATTAGAGTTGATTTCCTCTATTCCATTTATTAAAATACAGTCTCTTTTCACTAACTAACAGAGTTCCATCCCTAAGACCACGTCGGTAAAGGAATTCGTCGCTAATTGAGGAATCATCCCTTACTGATACTTCAAAAGTGTCACCACCCGAAATTAAAACATTCAGTTTTGTGTTTGCTGTGAAAATTCTTCCAATCCATTCATTATTAATGGTAATACAACATGAAATAGGTCAATAACTTACCTCCGAGATATTCCAGTAAACGCGCGCATGGCTGATTACTTGGGAAAAAAAAATTCCAGAAAATTGCACTTTTTTCAGTCTTTGCATAGGATAAGAGTGATCTTCTATAGTTACCCTTCAGGCATAAAATGCATAACATTTTCTGTAATGGTTGTGGTCATTTTTTTTTTTTATCCCTCCCTGCCCTTCTCTGCTGCCCACTCCTCAATACTTCTCCATATAATGTCATTTTCATTAATTTAGATGTCTTTACCATGCTTCTATGTTATTTATGTTATACCTAATGTTATTCTGCAATAAATATTAGTATAATAGTATAATTACACAATATTTTTTAGTGTTGCAAGGCACACCCCTCCGTGCATCATGGCGAGAGACTGATCATGTCTTCTCCCTCTCATATAGCTGTGCAATATTTCTCCATACAATGCCAGTTTTTATTAATTTGGGCATCTTTATCATGCTTCTCATTATGTTATACCTAATATTATTCTGGAGTAAATATGGTAGGTAGATAACCTTTATTGATAGTAATAGTAAAATTATTAAATATTTTACAGTGGGGTGAGGTGTCATGGGGAATCATGAGTTACCGAGACACTGTGACACTGCTCGCTTCTTCCTCTGCTATAGCTAGTACCACCCGCTTTGTAACGATGCCAAATGGTGAATTAAATATGCATATTAGAAAAATAAAAGAAAAAATAAATAAAAAGTTAACTCCAACTTGATAAACTTAACTGTAACATATTACAGAAAACAATAAAAACATAAATTACACATACAGTACACTCATTATTACCTTAAAATATTTGTAGTCCTAATGTGGGGTGACACAAACCCACTACCATTATAGAGTGTGTCCACAAAAACACTCCCTGATTTCAAACAGGTATAACATGTAACTTTATTGTAATAATCTTTCACAGTTAGTAGCTTCAGATGCAGGATTTCATTCAGTTTCGTGTGGTATAGGGTAGCATTAACCCTTTCAGGGTTTGTGCCGTAGATCTACGGCTTTACGTTCAGGGTCTAAACCGTAGATCTACGCCATGAGCTCAGCTCACTCTGATAAGCTGTCAGCAGTAAATTTGGGCTTAGATATGAGAGAATACATCTATGTGGTATGTGTGCACCACATAAAACAAATCCTGCAGCACACAGTGCACAATGAGGAAAAAAACTGAGACCGTAATTTTCGATTAAAACAGCGACTTTGCAGTGTTTTTTCGTATGTTTTTTATAGTTGTATTTGCACTTTCTTGATTTCATTTGATAGAATGGAAGATATACTACAGAAACAGAGATGATTTTGATTGGTTTTAATACTGGAAATGGCTTGAAATTGAGCTCAAAGTAGCAGAAATGTTAAATTTTTGCCGATGTTCAAGAGTAAACAAATGACCTCACAAGTCTATTACATGACAGCTGGTGGGTCTAATATACATTCACAAATGTGTGTGGTGATATTATTTATACAATTATTACAGTATTGCATAACAGTAAATCTTCTATTTTCTGGTTTGAACAAAAATTCATTATGTGAATAAAAAATCAAAATGGAATTCATTTGTAAAGCCTGAAAACATAAGTAATGAACAGAGGAAATGTTAGTTTAGTGCCAGGAATGCCTGCATTGTTTATTTTGGACCTTATTTTGAAATTGGAATATTTTGAACTTTGCATTAAATTGGCCAAATTACCAATTTCCGGTCACTTTATTTTGTTGTTGAAACAGTTGACTTGGCAATTTCTTGTGCTCAATCAATAGAATAGAAGTAATACTAGTGAAATAGCTAAGAATTTGGTTGACTGGAATACTGTAGTTGCCCTAAAATGGGAGTCAAAGTCGTAAAATGGGAGTCAAAGTCGGCAAAATCGCCAATGCGTAAATATCACCGACACATCAAAATTCGCAAGAGCATAATTTCGCCAATTTTCCATCAAACTTTGTATTTTTTGTTTTATTAACTTCAGAAAAAGATTCTCTACCATTTCATAAGAAAAAATAACAAAATTATTTTTTGAAAATTCTTGGACCCTGTTGCACACTTTGAAATTTGGCCTCTGGACCCTAAAAGGGTTAAAGGCACTCAATGTGCGCCCCTCTGGTTGCTCAGCAAACATCGATGTGATAGTCCAGTTCGGTCCAGACGCTCTGCAGCATATCTGGTGTTATCATGTGAACTGCTTCAGTGATTGAAATTTTCAGCTCCTTCAGGGTCACAGGTAGTGGTGGTACATAAACTGTGCTCTTCACGTACCCCCACCCTCTGCAAGTGGCCTGCAAAGTCTCTGGACCTAACTGTTTGTGTCTTCTTTCTTCGGGGTTACACGAACAGCACAGTTTACATACCACCACTACCTGCAACCCTGGAAGAGCTGAAAATTTCGATCACTCAAGCAGTTCACATGATAACTCTAGATATGCTGCAGAGCGTCTGGTCCAAACTGGACTATCACATCGATGTTTGCCGAGCAACCAGAGGGGCGCACATTGAGTGCCTTTAATACTACCTTATACCACATGAAACTGAATGAAATCCTGCATCTGAAGCTACTAACTGTAAAAGATTACAATAAAGTTACATGTTACACCTGTTTAAAATCAGGGAGTGTTTTTGTGGACACCCTGAAGTATGCTCCTCACTTAGCAACGAATTTGTTTACCAATGTGGTCTTAGGAATGGAAATCCATCATTAAGTGAGGAGAGGCTGTATAACAATAACAATACAGTAACAGTAATATAATAATAATATAATATTAATAATAGTAATATAATAATAATAATAATAATACAGTAACAAAAGTAATAATAATAATAATAGAGTACATATATACTGACCTGAATATCAAACTGCAGATACTTCCTGGCAATTTCAGGACTGACCATCTTCTCAATAAAGTCCACATCGACCAGAATATTGCATCGTACAGCCGGGCACAGTATGTGGTGTGCCCCACCCTCTTGTATCTTGAGGGTGAGGTAGCTCTCCCAGCATGTAGCACAGAATTGGTGTTCACAGCTTGTTCCTCCGTGTTCTTCAAGCTCCCATGCTCGCATCTCTCCGTAACATATTGAACACTGGAAAAATGTGTATACCACACTATACCTATATGAAAAATGTTATACATACAGGAAGAACACTATACCTATATGAAGAACACTATACCTATATGAAGAACACTATACCTACATGAACAACACTACCTACATGAAGAACACTATACCTACATGAACAACACTATACCTATATGAACAATACTACAGTGCCCACAGTGACACAATGTTATGGTGAACACACCACTACTGAGCCTCTCAGCTTATTCCTTGTCTGGGATAAGCTCCTCTCACTTTGTAATGATGCCAAATGTTGATTTTTAATAAATCAGCAAAAAAAAAAAAAAAAAAAAAAAAAATTGCTGAAAATTCACTACAGCCACACGGGGTTATACTACCTGTGGCGTCATCATGAGAAACGTTGTAGTGGCTATAATTTGTTGTAGAAACATTGTACAAATGTTGTAGTGACTATAATTAATTGTAGAAAAATTGCTAGACTGTTAAACTATTTTTCTACAAGCTAAATTCAATTTTCGATTTTTTTTATTTTTTCGTACCCTGCCCAAGCATGCAGCCTAGACCCCCTTTACCTGTCCTTTGAAATACAGTGGACCCCCGGTTAATTTTTATTTTTTCACTCCAGGAGTATTTCAGTCCTGAAGTACTGACCGATTTGTTCCATAGAAATATTGTGAAGTGATTAGTCCATTTCAGCCAAATTTCCCGTACAAATGCCTTAATAAATAACTTACATAACTTGGTCGCATTCAGAGGTAATCGTTATGCGGGGGTCCACTGTATAAACAAAAATCAAGTATTTTGGCTACTTTGAGTTCAATTTCAATTTCAGGCTCAATGTCTACCTACTGAGGCTCACAGGACCCTATGTCCAGCTCTTATCCAATGCTATATAGATTATTCTTGCTCTTCATGGTACCCTGTCTTAACAAAACAAACTGAAAGATAGACTACAAATCAGCCAGAACAAAATGGTAAGATTCATCCTGGACCTGGGACCAAGAGAACATGTAGGCCAGGATGAATTACAACAATTGGATATGCTGAATGTTGAAGACAGTAATACAAATGAAGTTAAACAACGTTTATAAAATTGCTCACAAACGTTGTCCAGAATATCTTGCTGCCAAGTTTGTCAAGGCTGGGAATCAAAGTAATTATAGAACTACGGGAAGGGAGAACAACTTCGTAGTGCCCACAGTCAGTGGCCAGGCTTCGAAAACCTTTTATTGTACAGCAATAAAGGAATGGAACGAATTGCCTGCACATGTCAAAGCCAGTCATAGCATGAGCCAGTTCAAGAAGAGAGCCAAAAGGTAACTAATGAATGTAGCTACAGAGGGGGAGAGTGACTTCTTGTACGTATAAGTAACATTCATGTACCTATTACTGTAACATTCATGTACCTATTACTGTAACATTCATGTACCTATTACTGTAACATTCATGTACCTATTACTGTAACATACATGTACCTATTACTGTAACATACATGTACCTATTACTGTAACATTCATGTACCTATTACTGTAACATTCATGTACCTATTACTGTAACATTCATGTACCTATTACTGTAACATTCGTGTACCTATTACTGTAACATTCATGTACCTATTACTGTAACATTCATGTACCTATTACTGTAACATTCATGTACCTATTACTGTAACATTCATGTACCTATTACTGTACATATACATGTACCTATTACTGTAACATTCATGTACCTATTACTGTAACATTCATGTACCTATTACTGTAACATTCATGTACCTATTACTGTAACATTCATGTACCTATTACTGTAACATTCATGTACCTATTACTGTAACAGTCATGTACCTATTACTGTAACATTCATGTACCTATTACTGTAACATTCATGTACCTATTACTGTAACATACATGTACCTATTACTGTAACATTCATGTACCTATTACTGTAACATTCATGTACCTATTACTGTAACAGTCATGTACCTATTACTGTAACATACATGTACCTATTACTGTAACATTCATGTACCTATTACTGTAACATTCATGTACCTATTACTGTAACATACATGTACCTATTACTGTAACATTCATGTACCTATTACTGTAACATTCATGTACCTATTACTGTAACATTCATGTACCTATTACTGTAACATTCATGTACCTATTATTGTAACATTCATGTACCTATTACCGAGATCTGACCCAATCTTTAATGTTAATGTAAATAACTCCGTTTACCTTATTCCTAGTATATCTCCTTGTATTGTAACTGATGTTTACAGAGTTGAGTTACTTAGCTGCTTTAACTGTTAAGGTTTAAATAAAATATTACAAGGACTCCACTGTAAATAAATTACTTTGGCTGACTTTTTTGGGTTATCCTGGTGGGTAGTCTACACATACAGTGGACCCCCGCATAACGATTACCTCCGAATGCGACCAATTATGTAAGTGTATTTATGTAAGTGCGTTTGTACGTGTATGTTTGGGGGTCTGAAATGGACTAATCTACTTCACAATATTCCTTATGGGAATAAATTCGGTCAGTACTGGCACCTGAACATACTTATGGAGTGAAAAAGTATCGTTAACCGGGGGTCCACTGTATGCTGCTATGTATGAGAATTTATGTATGAGAATTTATGTAACTGTGTACCTGTACCTGAATAAACTTACTTCCAGTCCTGAATCCAATCAAAATCATCTCTATTTTAGTAATATGCCTTTCATTCTATCAAATGAAACTGAGGATAAAACCATAAAAACATACAAAATACAGTGGACCCCCGGTTAACGAACTTTTTTCATTCCAGAAGTATGTTCAGGTGCCAGTACTGACCGAATTTTTTCCCATAAGGAATATTGTGAAGTAGATTAGTCCATTTCAGACCCTCAAACATACACGTACAAACGCACTTACATAAATACACTTACATAATTGGTCGCATTTGGAGGTGATCGTTAAGCGGGGGTCCACTGTACACTGTAAACCTGAAATTCTAAACCATACACATGGTCACAGTTTTGTTTTTCCCATCTTGCACTACATGGTGCAGGATTTTTTTTATATTATGCACACTCACCACATAGACCCATTCTCTCATATCTAGGCCAAAATTTACCACTCAAAGCTTATCAGAGTAAGCTGAGTTCATCACGTAATTCTATGTGACGGACCCTGAACTCAAAGCCGCGATACTATGACACGGACCCCAAAAGGGTTAAATATCCAAGTTGCACCAAAACACTGCCATTAGTTTCATTCTCCTCTATGTGAGTAATTAACATCCTGTAACCTTCACTGTATAGTAAAGATGACAGCCATCTGGGATATCAGATTTAAAATATATGGTATCATTAACCCTTTCATTGTCGGTCCCCTATCACAGCTTTGAAGCCAATGTCAGTTCCACAGTACAGGTCCATATCCCTTTATCCGAAATTCTGAAATTAAAAAAGTTCCGAAAACTGAAGTTTTTTCATGGAGTGCAGAGTGTCAGTCATCTCAGTGCCGACACGTGGTGGCAAGACCCAGTACTGACAGCCAGAGTGGCAGGGAAAATTCAAAACAATACTGGCCCCAAGGGTTTCGGATAAAGGGATGTGGACCTGTGCAACACCATGAGCTCAGCTCACTCGTACAAGCTTTGAGCAATAAATTTAGGCCTAGATATGAGAGAATATGTCTGTGTGGTAAATGTGCACCATGTAAAAAAAATCCTGCAGCATGCAGTGCATAAGAAAAGAACTGACTGTGTTTTTGGTTTAAAATAGTGATTTTGCGGTGTATTTTCGTATGGTTTTTATGACTGTATTCTTGTATTTTATATAGCCGGACTTGAGTCCTGGAAATGGGAAGTACAATGCCTGCACTCTAAAGGAGGGGTTTTGGGATATTAGCAGTTTGGAGGGATATGTTGTGTATCTTTATACGTATATGCTTCTAAACTGTTGTGTTCTGAGCACCTCTGCAAAAACAGTGATTATGTGTGAGTGTGGTGAAAGTGTTGAATGATGATGAAAGTATTTTCTTTTTGGGGATTTTCTTTCTTTTTGGGTCACCCTGCCTCGGTGGGAGACGGCCGACTAGTTGAAAAAAAAAAAAAAAAATCTTGATTTCTTGATCTCACTTGATAGAATGGAAGATATACAGTGGACCCCCGCATAGCGAACTTAATCCGTGCAAGAGGGCTGGTCGTTATGCGAAATGTTCGCTATGCGAATTAATTTTCCCCATAAGAAATAATGGAAATAAAATTAATCCGTGCAAGACACCCAAAAGTATGAAAAAAAAATTTTTTTACCACAAAAAAATGTTAATTTTAGTACACACAAACTGAAAAAGGCATGCACAATTACATGACACTTACTTTTATTGAAGATCTGGTGATGATTGATGGGATGGGAGGAGGGGAGAGAGAGTGTTAGTGTTTAGAAGGGGAATCCCCTTCCATAAACACTTGAGGAGGCAAGTCCTTTTCCGGGGTTACTTCCCTTCTTCTTTTAATGCCACTAGGACCAGCTTCAGAGTCACTGGACTTCTTTCTGTCCATAGAGCTCTGTACCTCCCGTTCCTTTACGATTTGTCTAAAATGGGCCATAACATTGTCATTGAAATAGTCACCAGCACGCCTTGCAACAGCTGTGTCAGGGTGATTTTCATCCATAAAGGTTTGCAGTTCAACCCATGTGCACACATTTCCTTAATTTTTGAAGTAGGCACAATGGATTCCACAACTGGCATAGGCTTCTCAGGGTTACCCCCAAACCCTTCAAAATCTTTCTTAATTTCCATACTAATTCTCACCCTTTTTACCACAGGGTTGGCACTAGAAGCTTTCTTGGGGCCCATGGTCACTTATTTTCAACAAACAGAACCGAAAACACTGTAATAATACGAAATATTCCGAGTGTATGCTTGAATGTTACCGCGGAGGCTAGCTGGTAAACAATGGGACAGGCGGCACATGTGAGGCTGGCTGAGGCCGCACATTGGACGCGTCTCGGACGAAGTTCGCTGAGCGGGTTTTTGTCTACTATGCGGGGCAAAATTTTAGCGATCAAAGCGTTCGCTATGCGGAATGTTCGCTATGCAAGGCGTTCGCTATGCGGGGGTCCACTGTATTACAGAAATAGGGAAAATTCTGACTGGTTTCAGGACTGAAAGTAGCTTAAAACTGAGGTCAAAGCAGCAAATTGTTCAATTTTTGCCGATATTCCAGAGTACACAAATGATGTTACGTGTCCAGTATGCGTCCAACTGGGTAGTCTAATACCCATTTAAGAATGCACTGATATTATTTATACAATTATTACAATAATGCATTAGACTGCATAACAGTAAATCTTCTATTTTTTTGTATGAATAAAAATTCCAAATGAAAAGCAAGTGCAATATATTAGGGGCCCAGAGGTAACATGACTAAGGAACAGAGGAAATGTTTATTTAGTGCCAGGAATGTCTACATTGTTTATTCTGGACCCTATTTTCAAATTGGCAATTGTTGAATTTTGTATGAAATTGTCCAGATTACCTATTTCTGATCACTTTACTGGGTAGCTGAAATAGGCAAATGGGCAGTTTTTTGTACTCAATCAACAGAATAGAAGGAATACTTGAAAAATAGTTATGAGTTTGGTGGACTGGAACAATGGAATTGGCCAAAAATAGGGAGTAAAATGGGCAAAATTTCCAGTGCGTAAATATCGCCGAGACTGCTAACTTTGCAAGAGCATAATTCCATAAGTTTTCCACAAATTTCATACTTTGGTTTCATTACCTTTGGAAAAAGATTCTATATCATTTAACAAAAATTCTTTAACACTGAGAACAAGTTTGAGAGGATGAGTCTCAACACTAAAAGGGTTAAAGGACTGCTCCAAATTTCTTTACGGAAGACATTTAGGGGTGACACTCGGGTTAGAGACAATAGGGAATTTGTCTTGAAGCTGATTTATTATTTTTTTTATTTTGGGGAAGCCCTGAAAAGCTGGAAAAGGTTATGGGATATGAGTCTTGACCTCCCTTGTCCCATCATTGGAATAATCCTATCAACATGTAAGTGTAAGGGGTGGCTTATGTTACTGTTTACCGCTTATCGTTAGCAATAAATATGACTAAAATACACAATATATGACTAAAATATTCAATATTTAACCACAATGTTCAACATTTGACTAAAACATTTAACCACAATACTCAGTATTAAAGTTATTTTGTATTCATGTTCATCAGTAACCACATTGGCAGCCATCTTGAATTTTTCAACCTTCTCAAAGTTCATGGATTGACAGCAGCTGGATTATCAGTCAAGAACAATTACCAACCATAAATTTCCAGGTTCATCCAAATTTCAACTGGGCTATAACCCCTGGAATGAAGAATGACTGAAGAAGTAGAATGAGAAGAGTGCAGCAGTAACAGAAGAGGAAGACAAAAGGAATGAAGAGAATATACAATAAACAAATAACCCGCACAAAGAAGTCTGAAAATTATGCTGTTGTTTTGGTCTGACTTCGACCATCAACCCTTAAACTGTCCAAACGTCGAGCTACGTTGATGTGCGTAGCACTCCGAGCATAGATCTACGTTTTTTTTGCCCGAAATGCTTTGCATACGAAGGGGCTTTTGGCATGTACACCCAACTATTATATTCCTCTGTACAACCATGTAATTTGTCAAAATAAACATCTTAATCTTAAGAAAGCACGTAAAATCGGACGTAGATCTATGTCCAGAGCACTACGCACGTGAATGTAGATCTACATTTGGACAGTTTAAGGGTTAACTAATCACAAAGAAGTGTGAAGGAAAGGGAGCCAGTATGTACACAAGACGGTACCAGAGACATGAGACAGAGATGAGGTAGAAATAATAATTCTTCCTGAAGTAATATTAGCAGGCAAGGATACAGTAGAGGAGTCCCTCATTATAAGCTGTAGAAGTCTTGCAGTCCCTTGCAATCTGTACTAAGATCAACCAGGTCATAAAGACTTAATTATGCAACAAAAGTCTTAAATGAGTCTTGCAAACTATAAAACTATAAAACTGAGCAAGGTAACATTTATGAAGGGATTCTGGGAAATCAGTTAGCCGGACTTGAGTCCTGGAGGTGGGAAATACTGCGCTTGCAATCTGAAGGACAGGCATTGATATGCTGCAGTTTTATAACTGTAGTGTAGGCACACCTCTGGCAAGATAGTGATGGAGTGAATGATGATGAAAGTGTTTCTTCTTTTTTTTGGGGGGGACACCCTGCCATGGTGGGAAATGGCTGATGTGCTTAAACAAAAAACTGGCAAAGAAAACAAGCCAGAGAACAGGTTGGGTTTGAACCCATTGCAAGTGAATGCTAAACTTTCCAGGTCAGTGCAATGATGTTATTACAATATCGTGAGTCAGCGGAGAAATCAAGTCATCATACCAGGTTCTGTCCCTCTACTTCCACATCATGATCCTGGTCTATGCTGTCCCCTGCAATGCGAGCTAGTGGAGGAGGTGTGATAACTGAGTTAGGTAGAGATGAAACCACCACTGACGAAGTCGGAGCCACAAGCTGGAGAGCAGACGCTGGAGGCGCTATACCTGCCGCCTCACAACACTGAACAGCATTTGTCATCCATTTTTCCAAGAGCAACGCCTTAGACCATTCTGAAAAAGAAGGAAAGTAATGGACAATACAATTTTTACACAAAAAATTCCTAATAAAGTACATACAATGATGTAGGATACATGTTTTTATTTTGAGCACTGCTGCTTTTTTTTTTTCCCGAAAACTCTACAACCACAGACTCAATCACCATTTTCAAAACTACCATTAAAAAAAATCTTATCTCCCTAACACACCCCATCATCAGCTATATGAAAACCACCTATTCTCTTTTTTGTATCATGAACCATCAGAAACAAAACAGACTTACTCTCATTATCTGTAATTCCCCCTAATTTACAAAAACACTCATCCAAATGACTGTAAACATAAAATTCCTAATATAGCTAATGCCTAGTCCTAAGTTTGCTTCAAATATTCTCCCAACTTAGGAGTTTTTACAGAAACAGTGTATCATGCTATGATAAAACCATTCCCATTACTAAATTTACCAATTGTAATAGTATTATATGTCTGGGATTACCTCGCTGTTATCAATCTAATTAATGTTAATCACTTCAGTTACCTAACTTTTACATCAGTATGCAATAATATATATTAAAATGTACTGCTCCAGAACCTGTGTCAATACAGAGTAAGAATTACAATTAGTCTGCCCGAAATGCCTAGGCATGCTAGTGGTCTTCTTTGTAATTAATATTTTATAATATACATATATATATATTTAGTGAAGGGATTCAGGGAAACCGGTTATTTTCATATAGTCGGACTTGAGTCCTGGAAATGGGAAGTACAATGCCTGCACTTTAAAGGAGGGGTTTGGGATATTGGCAGTTTGGAGGGATATGTTGTGTATCTTTATATGTGTATGCTTCTAGACTGTTGTATTCTGAGCACCTCTGCAAAAACAGTGATAATGTGCGAGTGTGGTGAAAGTGTTGAATGATGATGAAAGTATTTTCTTTTTGGGGATTTTTTTTCTTTTTTGGGTCACCCTGCCTCGGTGGGAGACGGCCGACTTGTTGAAAAAAAAAAAAAAAAAAAAAAAAACATGCAAGATTTCAGGTATGTCTTGTTACTTCTACTTGCACTTAGGTCACACTACACATACATCTACAAGCATATATATACACACCCCTCTAGGTATTCTTCTATTTTCTTTCTAGTTCTTGTTCTTGTTGATTTCCTCTTATCTCCATGGGGAAGTGGAACAGAATTCTTCCTCCGTAAGCCATGCGTGTTGTAAGAGGCGACTAAAATGCCGGGAGCAAGGGGCTAGTAACCCCTTCTCCCGTATAAATTACTAAATTTAAGAGAAACTTTCGTTTTTCTTTTTGGGCCACCCTGCCTTGGTGGGATACGGCCGGTGTGTTGAAAGAAAGAAAAAATTTTATAATATGTAAACCCCACATTGTAAGCTTTGCAAGGAAACAAACATTTTCATTTCCTCTAGGGCACTTTAAATGTATGCATATTACATGTGGGTGGGGTGGCCACACCTACCACACCTGACCTTCTTTGATATACCTTTGAAGAGTTCCGAGAGTTTCACTACTCTCGGAGCCCGGCCATGCACCAGGCTCATCTGGTGCTTGCCTGGTTAACCAGGCTGTTGCTGCTGAAGGCCCACTGCCCCACATATCCATCACAGCCTAGTTGATCTGACACCTGGTGAAGATGCTTATCCAGTTTCCTCTTGAAGACTTCTACACTTGTTCCAGCAGTGTTTCTGATATCTTCTGGTAAGATGCTGAATAGTCTGGGACCCTGAATGTTGATACAGTGCTCCCTTATTGTGCCCACTGCACCCCTGCTCCTCACTGGGTTTATTTTGCACTTCCACCCATATCTCTCACTCCAGTATGTTGTTATGGCAGTATGCAGATTTGGGACCAGGCCCTCTAGTACTTTCCAGGCATATATTATCATGTATCTCTCTCTCCTCTGCTCCAGTGAGTACATGTTCAAGACTTGAAGGCATTCCCAGTAATTTAGGTATTTTACCTGCTCAATGTGAGCCGTAAACGATCTCTGTATTTGTTCCAGCTCTGACATTTCTCCACTTTGAACGGGGCCGTCAACACTGAGCAATATTCTAAATGTGGGGGTACAAGTGATTTGAAGTGTCACCATCGGCATTATTTCCCTTGTTTTGAAAGTTCTCAGTACCCACCCCGTTATCTTCCTGTCTAACCTGATCCTTGTTTTGTTATGGTCTTTAAAATGAAGGTTAGCTGACATAATTATTCCCAGGTCTTTTACGTGTTCTTTCCATTCTATTTGGTGACCTTCTTGAGTTTTGTATATAGAGATCCTTTGAGTTATTCATTCTTTCCATACCTAAGCAGCTGGAACTTATCACCACTGAACGTCATGTTGTTCTTCACTGCCCACTGGAAAACACTGTTTATGTCTTCCTGTAATTTTTCAGTGTCCTCTACCATAGTGACTTTCATGCTTATTTTAGTGTCATATGCAAATGATGATACAACAGTGTGATGGGTGTCTTTATCTATGTCTGCTATGAGGATGAGAAACAGCAGAGGTGCCAGGACAAAGCCTTGGGGCACTGAGCTAATGCTGGATCTTGCTCTGTTCAATACTACTATTTGTGTTCTGTGTTAGGAACCTGAAAATTCATCTGCCTACCTCTCCCATAATGCCCATGGACCTCATTTTGTGCACTATCACTCCATGATAGTCAAAGTGTCATTAGTTCATGGTACAAGCTGGAGCATTAACTAGTCATGGTGTCACTAGTTCATGGTACAAGTTGGAACATTAACTAGTCACACAGCATCACTAGTTCATGGTACAAGTTGGAGCATTAACTAATCACACAGTGTCACTAGTTCATGGTACAAGCTGGAGCATTAACTAGTCATGGTGTCACTAGTTCATGGTACAAGTTGGAACATTAACTAGTCACACAGTCTCACTAGTTCATGGTACAAGTTGGAACATTAACTAATCACACAGTGTCACTTGTTCATGGTACAAGTTGGAACATTAAGTAGTCACACAGTGTCACTAGTTCATGGTACAAGTTGGAACATTAGTCACACAGTGTCACTAGTTCATGGTACAAGTTGGAACATTAACTAGTCACACAGTGTCACTAGTTCATGGTACAAGTTGGAACATTAACTAGTCACACAGTGCCACTAGTTCATGGTACAAGTTGGAACATTAACTAGTCACACAGTGTCACTAGTTCATGGTACAAGTTGGAACATTAACTAGTCACACAGTGCCACTAGTTCATGGTACAAGTTGGAACATTAACTAGTCACACAGTGTCACTAGTTCATGGTACAAGTTGGAACATTAACTAGTCACACAGTGCACTAGTTCATGGTACAAGTTGGAACATTAACTAGTCACACAGTGTCACTAGTTCATGGTACAAGTTGGAACATTAACTAGTCACACAGTGCCACTAGTTCATGGTACAAGTTGGAACATTAACTAGTCACACAGTGTCACTAGTTCATGGTACAAGTTGGAACATTAACTAGTCACACAGTGTCACTAGTTCATGGTACAAGTTGGAACATTAACTAGTCACACAGTGTCACTAGTTCATGGTACAAGTTGGAACATTAATAGTCACACAGTGTCACTAGTTCATGGTACAAGTTGGAACATTAAGTAGTCACACAGTGTCACTAGTTCATGTACAAGTTGGAACATTAACTAGTCACACAGTGTCACTAGTTCATGGTACAAGTTGGAACATTAACTAGTCACACAGTGTCACTAGTTCATGGTACAAGTTGGAACATTAACTAGTCACACAGTGCCACTAGTTCATGGTACAAGTTGGAACATTAACTAGTCACACAGTGTCACTAGTTCATGGTACAAGTTGGAACATTAACTAGTCACACAGTGTCACTAGTTCATGGTACAAGTTGGAACATTAACTAGTCACACAGTGTCACTAGTTCATGGTACAAGTTGGAACATTAACTAGTCACACAGTGTCACTAGTTCATGGTACAAGTTGGAACATTAACTAGTCACAGTGTCACTAGTTCATGGTACAAGTTGGAACAAAACATGGTCATGAGTTTCATTCTCCTATGTTCAGGTTATTTGTGTATTGTTCCATTCACGGTACTGTGACTTTTATTCTTTCTTGTCAAAGTTGAACTGAATAGTAAAGTGTTCCAGTCATGACAAGTTGAACTTTAAAGTAACTTTATTTATGTACAGTGAACACTATAAGTCACAAGTTATGTACAATGCTACTAGTACATATGTTCATGGTACAATACAGTCAGAGTATTACATCTTCTATTTATATTTTATTGTCACAGGTACTACATAATTACATTTTCTAAATTCAACTGAATATGTACATGTTCACATGAAATGTCAATTTTAAAGTAACTTTATTTATGTACAGGAACACATAAGTACAAGTATTACAACTTCTATAATATGTACAGGTACACATAAGTACAAGTATTACAACTACTATAATATGTACAGGTACACATAAGTACAAGTATTACAACTACTATAATATGTACAGGTACACATAAGTACAAGTATTACAACTACTATAATATGTACAGGTACACATAAGTACAAGTATTACAACTTCTATAATATGTACAGGTACACATAAGTACAAGTATCATAACTACTATCATAAGTGTTAATTACCTACCAGGACAACATTTAAGTCAAAGTGACTTATTTCCATTGTTGTTCTTAAAATATATTATTATTTAAAGATTAATAAATATCCTAAACTCTAGGATATCTTTTATAATATCTTTTATAAAGCCTAATAAATATCTTGATATGTAATATCTTATTACTTAAAGTATAAACTCACCATTATCTCTGAGTAAAGCCTCGGCAGTAAAGAGAGGAATATGCAACATATCTGCAGTTTCAACAAGCAACTGGTCCTTTGCTTCTTGCAAGTCTTGCGCTCGCAGACCAGAATATACTTCATTGTCACAATCAGTCTCGACTTCGTTACCCACCAGCTCTCCCTCGTTCACACCATCACTACTGTCAGCCTGAAACACAATGTATTTTATATCACTAAAAAAGATTAATTCGAACACTCAAACAGTATTTGTAATAGTGGATAAATCATGAAACAGATGAGGTTTGAAACCTTGGCAAGCGAGTTACAACTCACAGGTCAGTGTTAACAACTGAACCACCTGGCTCTAATAAGATTTATGAAGGGGACTGGAGCTAGAGCATGCCACAGCCACACTGGTGGGATATTCATCTGTAAAAACTGGCATGTGTGGTCATAGTGATGGCTCATGCTAACCTCCCTATGGTGTACAGAAATATACCTAGTTGTATGACTCTTATTAAAGCTGCTGGTACAGTTGTTAACACACTGGCCTCAAGTTTTAAGACTCACTTGCCATGGTTCAAATCCTACTTGTTCCCTGATTTATTGGCAATTGTGTTATTACAAATTCCTGAGTCATAATTAGTTGATATTTTTAACCACATATTTGCCAAATTCCAAATAAAATATTGCATGATAAACAATTTGAGTTAATTTGCAAGGCAGTAATTAAGACTTACGAAGACCATGCGGGACTCCAGGTAAGTAGCAACATCATGATGTGCAGCTCTGACTGCCACATCGCATGGTGTTAACCTGTCACGGTTTTCAATGAAGAGGCCGGCTCCCTGAGCAACGAGAAGCTCCACGCACTTGCGTAGTCCTGAAGCTGACGCGTAATGAAGAGCCGTGTTCCCTTTCTGCAACACAAATAAGAGTGGTGAAACTCGTATACCTTGGATATACCCTTGACGAGTTCCCAGAGTTTTTCTACTCCCAGAGCCAGACTTTTGACCAGGCTTCTCTGGTGCTAGTCTGGTCAACCAGGCTACTGCTGCTGGTGGCCGGCTGCCCCACATAACCATCACAGCCTGGTTGATCTACCACCTGGTGACGATACTTATCCAGTGTTCTCTTTCATACCAATAAGTTGTAGGTAAAAGATATGTTTACACTGATCAAGATATTTATTAAGGAAAGGTTTAACCATGAATATCTTTTTTACCCCTAACATTAAGAATGATGAAGCCATGAATGACTTTGTCATTCCTAACATTAAGAATAAAGCCACAAGAGGTGAAACATTCCTTAATAAACATCTTAATCAGTCCATACACATCTTTTACCAACAAGAACATCAATGTTTTGAACATCAATATAATCAGCAATGAGTAAAACCAAGTTTATTTTACTATTTTTATTAACCATTCTCTTTTTATACACTTAGTTCAATAAAAAAATTAAAACAACAACCAGGTCTTCATTAGAGCCAATAATAAAACCCATGAAGCGGTCGCACTGTTCGAATTATATGTGAATTTTGCTCAAGATTTGAAGATTTTGGGGAAAACTAGCACTGATTCCATACTAAAGTGAAATTCAGACTGTTTGAATTTGCAGTAATCAAGGCCAGACTGAACTAGTAAATAGAATTTTGACAAAATGTATCTCTGGAATTTAAGAATTAGTCTAAGTCTAAATTAAGAGGACGACAGATAAAACAAGAGAATGAGGGAAAAACCTGAAGATAAATAGGAATTATGCGAGTGATCCAATGTTAATGGCAGAGCTGAAGAATTTTTCACTGAAAATGATCTTGAGACATCTAAAAGCATTGGTGTTAAAAGGCTTCTTTAGTAAATAATGTTACTTTATTGTCAGCTACATGATAGGTTAAAACAGACCAGGTTTTTATTACAGACTATATAAGCACTTCAGTACACTGTCCACTGCTGACAATTCTGAATCTATAACAATACACAAATGACCCACACATGAGAATGAAACTTATGATGACATTTCTGTCCAACTTGGACCATTAACTACTATGGTCCAAGCCGAACCAAAATGTCATCATCAGTTTCATTCTCCTATGTATGGATTAAACGTGTATTGTTTCAGTAATGGTACTGACTTTTTATTTTTTCTGAATCTACATCAACACAAGAAACACAGCCATCCCCTTATGCCCAGAAAACCCACATCAACCCTCTCCACAATTTTCTATTTCAAGAAGCAGTACCATCTACTATGATGTAAGATATGTTTAATTGTAGTAATATTTACCAAATTTTTTAAAGCATCAATCATCTTCCACCACTCTTTCTCATTTACATCAATGACCTCCCAAAGGCATCATGACTCCTTAAACCAGTCTCACAGATGATACCACTTACGTCTTTTCCCACCCAAACCTGGTTATACTTAGTAACACTGTAAACAGCGAGCTACATAAAATATCAAACTAGATGACTACCAACAAATTTACTCTCAATATAGACAAAACCTATTTCATGCTTTTTGGAAACAGAGCATTAAATATCCAGCTAAACATATCAATAAATGGTTCACCCATTACAAGACACACTGAGGGCAAATTTCTAGGTCTCTACCTTGACTGAAATCTTAAATTTCACCCCCACATCCAGCATATACAGTGGTACCCTGAGTTTCGTACAGCTCTCAACTCGAAAAATTATGTATGTAAATTTTTGTAAGTGCTTTTGTAAGTGTATTTTTGGGGGTCTGAAACGGACTAATCTAATTTACATTATTCCTATGGGAACAAATTCGTTTGGTAACGGCACTTGAACAGCCTTCTGGAATGAATTACGGCCAAAACTCGGGGTACCACTGTAACTAAGAAAGTTTCCAAAACAGTGGGTATCCTTTCCAAGATACGACACTATGAACCCCAAAGGGCACTACTTTATAACACTCTCTAATATACCCTTACCTCACCTACGGTATTTGTGCTTGGTGATCTACCACAGCCAATCACCTTAAACCTTTAACAACCCAACAAAACGCAGCAGTGTGGATGATCACAAACTCCTGCACCAGACAACACACCCCACCTCTCTCTGAAAGCTTGAACTTACTTAATATGCAAAATATACACACTTATTATTGTGCCTATATAGCCTAACCTTGCCTAACCTTACCTAACCTAACTAACCTAACCTAACCTAACCTAACCTAACTTAGCCTAACCTAGCCTAACCTTACCTAACCTAACCTAACTAACCTTACCTAACCTTGCCTAACCTAACCTAGCCTAATCTAACCTAGCCTAACCTAACCTAGCCTAACCTTACCTAATCTAACCTTACCTAACCTTACCTAACCTAGCCTAACCTAACCTAGCCTAACCTAACCTAGCCTAACCTAACCTTACCTAACCTAACCTAACCTTCCCAAACCTAGCCTAACCTAACCTAGCCTAACATAGCCTAACCTACCCTAGCCTAACCTTACCTAACCTAGCCTAACCTTACCTAACCTAGACTAACCTAACTTAGCCTGACCTGACCTAACCTAACCTAATCTAACCTAACCTAGCCTAACCTAGCCTAACCTAATCTAGCTTAATCTAGCCTAACCTAGCCTAACCTAACTTAGCCTATCCTAACCCAACCTAATTTAATGTAACCTAAGCCAACCCAACCTAGCCTAATCTTATTTAACCTAGCTTAGCTGCAAATTGAATGTGAGCATCCACACTGATGCACAGCAAAGTTAAGAGGATGGGCTGATGATGTTTAGTGAAGGTAAGAAGATGGGTAGGAATGGGTGGTTTTGATAAGGACTTGCCTTGTATGGGCCAGTAGACCTGCTGCAGTGTTTCTCCATTTCTATGTTCTTAATCCTCCATGAAGAATAAAACAATCGTTCTCACCTTATCCTGAGCATTCAACTGAGCTCTTTCCTTCTCCCCGTCCTGTAGTACTGGTCCCCGCCACTGAAGGATCATGATGACACACGCAGCACGTCTGTCCTCTGCCGAAGGTGATTTGGCCTGGCCAACGCGACATACACAGTGAACGGAACTTTCGTCGTCACCATTCTTCTTGTTTGGATTACCCCCAAGATCACAGAGAAAGGTCCTTCAAGGAAGTAAATACTTGTTTACCATAGATGAAATTAATACAATGCTTATTAATGCTAGATTAAATCATCAGTGACTGTCACTACTGATGAAGAATTAGATACATATGCAGTATCTGGGTAATCAGTCCCTCAGCCTAGATACATCTGCAGTATCTGGGTAATCAGTCCCTCAGCCTAGATACATCTGCAGTATCTGGGTAATCTGTCCCTCAGCCTAAGCTGAGGGACTGATTATCTCATCTTCCTCTATTTACTGTATAATATTTCTATTACATCCTTTTACTGTATTAATAAAGTCACTGGATGGTGAAACATCTACAAGTAAAGCTACCCAGATCGTGCATGTGTCTAATTCATCATGATGTCAGTACTGAATACCAATGATATACAACACTGTCACTATTGTCTGAGAAGACAATATGTATTCTGCTTAATACAGTCATTGTAGAACAATAAAAGAGTGTTTCCAATGTGGATTACACTGGACCCCCGCCTTACGATCAGCTCCCAACTCGACCAATTATGTAAGTGTATTTTTGTACGTGCTTTTGTATGTGTATTTTTGGGAGTCTGAAACTGACTAATCTAATTCACAATATTCCTTATGGGAACAAATTTGGTTGGTAACGGCACCCGAACAGACTTCTTGAATGAAATAATATCGTAAGGCGGGGGTCCACTGTATTTTTAAACTTCAAACAAAGCAAATAGAAAATTCAACACGCCAAGATAGGGCAACCCGAAAAATACAAAAATCAGTGAAAAATCTGTAAACTGAACATGACAAACTAGACAGGTGATGATATAAGATACAAAGAGAAACAAATACAGTTACATGATGATCTATAAAGTACTGACAACATCTTTCTCACAAACTGACCATTGTTATAAACATCAGGTTCATGACTTTGATTCATGAATAAGACACATGTTCAACACCTGGGTATCTTTATTGATGAATAAGACACATGTGTAACACCTGGGTGTCTTTATTCTCAAGACATTCCACCAACCAGTGGCTTCATCAATTCAATACAAAGGCTATTTGAAAGTGCTGATACTGGGGACAGTAGACGATGAGGTGGTCAGTCCCTCAGAACTACATCCACAAGGATGGACTGATTACATCTCTACTGCTTCTGCTGCCTCCTCTGTATTCGACTGAAGAAGCCTACTGTGTAGGTGAAACTTTTTGGAATAAAGATACCCAACTGCCGCATGTGTCTTACTTATCAATTTGTCAGCATTGTATACCATAATCATGTTCTTAGGTGTTGAAACCAGAGACAGTGGAAGACCAGGTGATCAGTCCCTCGGCCTAGAAGGTGAACATCTTCTAGGCTGAAAAAAGGTGAATACCTAGCAGGCAAATCACCTTCTTGTAGGCTGAGGGACTGATAGCCTAGTCTCCTACTCTCTCTAGTTTTAACTCCTTAAAATAACCTCTGTACTGAATTAATCAAGCCAGTGGTTGGTGGACTGCCTTGAGAATAAAAAATACCCAGGTGTTGCACATCTGGGTATCACATACATACAATTAATGCTATGATACTTTGATTAATATCAAGAAGTATAAGTAACAGGAGTTCAAAGGCTGATAAAGTGCACTGTGTGGGCAAAATGTTCTCAATAAAGAATTACATACAACTGTATTTGCATCTTCTTACCGTGAACAAAACAATTCATGAATATTTAGGACCTACAAGACCTTCTTCACGGCTGCTACAACTAACCCATCCCTTTGGGAAGGACCTACTTCCACTGGGGAATCCCGCCTACCAGTGACTATGTCCTCGTCTGCTACACGTCCTTATCCACTGACGCCTATATAACCGCCAGTCTTCTTGCCTTGGCTCCAGATTCTCCTCCACCACGATGCTGTGAACACTAGCTCCAAGACTGAGGGACTGATTACCTCATCTTTTGTATATATAGTTCTACTGTCTTCTAATTATGTCCTAGAATCTGTATTGATAAAGCCACTGGATGGTGAAACGTCTACAATAAAGATATCCAGATGTTGCACATGTGGCTTAACTTTCACACTGTCAGTATTTAATACCTTTCTTGCAGAATATTTAGGACAGAAGCAGTAATGAATCTTAATCCTTAACCCTTAAAGGGTCCAAACGTATATATACGTTTTCTTTGTCATTCATTCAACATTGCCACGATAAGCCTGAGTCACCTAGACATGAGAGAATGGGTGTGCGCACTCACTGTACACCATATTAAAATATTTGGGGATGCCTGGGTACAACATGCTCCTTTTTCCTATTAAAAAAATGATTTTTTTCTCTCAAAAAATTTGGGGCACTACACGAGAGAACGTATATATACGTTTGGACCGTTTAAGGGTTAAACTGTCCAAACATAGATCTACGTTTTTTCAACATTTGAAAGTATGTAAAAAAATGTAGATCTTCATTTTTTTTACATTTGAAAGTGTGTAAAAAACTTTGATCTACGTTTTTTTTCTTTTGTTATACAGTGGACCCCCGTTATTCGATGGCATCGGTATTCGATAAATCCGGTATTCGATGCATTATATCGCAAAAAATTTTCCTCAGTATTCGATTGAAAACCCGGTATTTGACACGATTCGTACGAGACGTGTCCACGTGTGGTCTGAACTGCCCCTTGTGTGCCAGTGTTTACAAGCCAGCCAGTGTGCGCGCATCTAAGGATACATTCGGTACATTCCATATTATCCATATTATCACTGTGTTTGGTGCTTGTTTCTGCAAAATAAGTCACCATGGGCCCCAAGAAAGCTTCTAGTGCCAACCCTGTGGTAAAAAGGGTGAGAATTAGTATGGAAATTAAGAAAGATTTTGAAGGGTTTGGGGCTAACCCTGAGAAACCTATACCAGTTGTGGAATACATTGTGCCTACTTCAAAAATTAAGGAAATGTGTGCACAGTGGGTTGAAGTGCAAACCTTTATGGATGAAAATCACCCTAACAATGACAATGTTGTGGCCCATTTTAGACAAATCGTAAAGGAACGGGAGGTACACAGCTCTATGGACAGATTTGTTGTGCGACAGAGGTCCAGTGACTCTCAAGCTGGTCCTAGTGGCATTAAAAGAAGAAGGGAAGTAACCCTGGAAAAGGACTTGCTACCTCAAGTCCTAATGGAAGGGGATTCCCCTTCTAAACACTAACACCTCTCCCCTCCTTCCATCCCATCAATCATCACCAGATCTTCATTAAAGGTAAGTGTCAATTATTTTATTGTTATTGTAATTATTCTATTGCATTAAACTTAATATTTCATGTAGTAAAATTTTTTTTTTCATACTTTTGGGTGTCTTGCACGAATTAATTTGATTTTCATTATTTCTTATGAGGAAAATTGATTCGGTTTTCGATATTATCGGTATTCGATGAGCTCTCAGGAACGGATTAATATCGAATACCGGGGGTCCACTGTATTTGAAAATATGTAAAAAACGTTCTAGGTAGTAGGTTGGTAGACAGCAACCGCCCAGGGAGGTACTACCGTCCTGCCAAGTGAGGGTAAAACGGAAGCCTGTACTTGTTTTACACAATGGTAGGATTGCTAGTGTCTTTTTTTTCTGTCTCATATACATGCAAGATTTCAGGTACATCTTGCTACTTCTACTTACACTTAGATCACACTACACATACATGTACAAGCATGTATATACACACCCGTCTGGGTTTTCTTCTATTTTCTTACTACAGTAGTTCTTGTTCTTGTTTATTTCCTCTTACCCCCATGGGGAAGTGGAGCAGAATTCTTCCACCGTAAGCCATGTGTGTTGTAAGAGGCGACTAAAATGCCGGGAGCAAGGGGCTAGTAACCCCTTCTCCTGTATATATTACTACTTGTAAAAGGAGAAAATTTCATTTTTCCTTTTGGGCCACCCTGCCTCGGTGGGATATGGCCGGTGTGTTGAAAGAAAGAAAGAAAGATGTAAAAAACGTAGATCTATTTTTGGAGCACTACACATGTGAACGTAGATCTATGTTTGGACAGTTTAAGGGTTGATTGATGCCACTCAGCTCAGCTCATGTGTCTTAATTTCATCTTGTTGGTATTATATACCATTCTTGTACTACTACTACTACTACTATTACTACTACCACCACCTCTTCCTGCCTATATATAGCCGTCCTGCCCCACTTCTGGTTAGTGTGACTTTGTAAATGGTCCAAGTCGGACCGAAACATCGTCGTAAGCTTCTCTCTTTTATGTGCGGGTTATTTGTGTATTTTCATATTAAGAGAATACAGAATCAAGAAGCACTGTTTTATCCCAATAATAGTGTCTCTCCAAAGTAAAGTGACCCCACAAAAAAGAGGAAACACATTCACCATCATTCATTCAATGTTTATCTTGCCAGAAGTACTAACATCACAGTTCAGATGACCCACAAACTGCAATGAATAATTTTGGAAAACAAAAATATTGGCTACATTGATATCTGGGTGTTAGTGGACTGGTGTGGGTGGCATCCTGGGGGACAAGATTGATGAACCATAATGGAAATGAGACAGACAGTCCTCGATGACACACTGACTTTCTTGAGTTATCCTAGTTTGCTAACCCTCTGGGTTAAAAATCCCAACAATTCTTATCTTAGTAGTACAGTGGACCCCCGCATAACGATTACCTCCGAATGCGACCAATTATGTAAGTGTATTTATGTAAGTGCGTTTGTACGTGTATGTTTGGGGGTCTGAAATGGACTAATCTACTTCACAATATTCCTTATGGGAATAAATTCGGTCAGTACTGGCACCTGAACATACTTATGGAGTGAAAAAATATCGTTAACCGGGGGTCCACTGTATAGTGTATTATAAAGTTAGGGTACAAAACAAACCTTAGTAAATGCTTCATTCCATGTTTGGCAGCATAGTGTAGGGGAGTGTTGTGGCCATGAGAGTCACCGTAGCTAGCACTGGGATCAAGGTTGGATCGCAGTTCAGGAGAACTCTGAAACACCTGAAAACAGAATTCAGGCTTTCAACACAAGTGGAAGATGGAGGAAGGTATCTTAGGCTATCACATGAAGGATACTCAAGAGCACATAAACTTTTGTTTTTTTTTTGGGTGGGGATTATAACCTCCTGGTTAATAATGACACTAACTTCTTACCTTCCTAAAGTTACAGTTCAGTGAGCATAGCTCCCACACACTGCCATAATACCATATACAAGTTTTGGATCTGCAAACCAAGCTCACAGAAAGCAGCCAGTTTTGGGATTTATTCCCTTACTGCCCAGCCCAGATGAGGCCTCCTGCTTGATTAAGACTTGATCAACCAGGTTATTACTGCTGGCTACATGCCATTCAATATATGAACTGCATTGTATTATTATTATTATTATATTCATAGTGCTAAACCAAGGTGGGTCATGCAGAGCTTGGAAAATGATTATGGAGAATGGGGAGAAATAGGTTTAAATCACTGATCAAGAGCCTCTCACCAGCATCAGGCCTCCTCCATTGAGTGGTTAAATAGATACAGCTATGCCAAGTCTCCTATCTGTCTTATACTCAATTAATTGTAATTATACTTCCTCATCTACCTCTCTTTAATTACCATGTCTGTCTTACTTATGATCTGTTTCCAGGGGTCTTCTAGGACCACACTCACAATGTTTCAGTCTATCCTGGACCACTGTCCAGTCAGTTCTGAGTTGACAATGTTTTGGTGTGTCCTGGACCACTGTCCTGTCAGTTCTGAGTTGACAATGTTTTGGTGTGTCCTGGACCACTGTCCTGTCAGTTCTGAGTTGACAATGTTTTGGTGTGTCCTGGACCACTGTCCAGTCAGTTCTGAGTTGACAATGTTTTGGTGTGTCCTGGACCACTGTCCTGTCAGTTCTGAGTTGACAATGTTTTGGTGTGTCCTGGACCACTGTCCTGTCAGTTCTGAGTTGACAATGTTTTGGTGTGTCCTGGACCACTGTCACTGAAGTAAATAATGAAACAATGTTATAGAAATGCAGTTAAAAGCCTGAATAGAACTATAACCAATAATGATGGCATGAACATCGATCTATAACCCACTATTACAAATGCAGATCTATAAACCACTTTCATAACATGAACATAGATCTATAACCCACTGTGATAACATGAATGTAAATTAGTATGTTTATGGAGCAATGTGCAATGTGACCACTGACTGTTGCTGTAGTAGCCAGGATTAGGCTTGGTTACAAGTACTTCTGACAGTTTAACAGACACACAGATTGACTGATGTTGTAATTGCCAGACTTAGGCTTGCTGACAAGTACTTCTGATAGTTTGACTGACATACAAACTGACTGATGTGGTAATAGCAGGCTTAGGCTTGCTACAAGTACTACTGACAGTTTGACAGACACACAAACTGACTGATGTTGTAGCAGCCAGGCTTAGGCTTAGTACTTCTGGCAGACTGACAGACACACAGATGATGATCAATGTAAAGTATGTGACCAGCCCTATGGTCACTATCTTGAACACTATGTGCTATGCTGTCCACTTATTGAGGAAATTAGAGATAGACAGTATAATAACCTACGTAATATGTCAAGATATCTTATTAATGAAAATAAGATACCAGATATATTAAGCAAATTTCCTAAATTTACTTGTAACAGATAAGTGGACTGTAGATATAAATCCTGTAAACTCTTTTGGGGCCTTGTTTCTAGGCCTACTGTGTATCCATATGCTCTTGCACTACTGTTCACAGGATGGATATGAGGTACACAATAAACTAGCAACTACCATCCACAGGATGGATATGAGGTACACAATAAACTAGCCACTACCATCCACAGGATGGATATGAGGTACACAATAAACTAGCAACTACCATCCACAGGATGGATATGAGGTACACAAACTAGCAACTACCATCCACAGGATGGATATGAGGTGCACAATAAACTAGCCACTACCATCCACAGGATGGATATGAGGTACACAATAAACTAGCCACTACCATCCACAGGATGGATATGAGGTACACAATAAACTAGCCACTACAATCCACAGGATGGATATGAGGTACACAATAAACTAGCCACTACTATCCACAGGATGGATATGAGGTACACAATGAACTAGCCACTACCATCCACAGGATGGTACTGGCTAGTTTATTGTGTACCTCTGTAGTAGGTAGGTACATCTGTAGTAGGCACTACCATCCAAAGGATGGTAGTGCCTACTACAGACGTTAGGCTTACTGGATGGTAATTTGACAGACTTGACTTATCCCCTGAAATAAATATAGGAATTACATTAGCCAGTGTCCACAACTCTGACACAACACCAGTTTGGATTGATGAGTTAAACAAGTTCATTAGTGACTAAATTGTAACTTACATTCTTTAAGTACCTTTGAATGCAGTTTATCGTGGCCCAGTGACTTATTGTTTTAGTTTGTCTAATTGTTTGATGATCATTTCCCTCATGACTGTAATAAATTTCTTTCTCTTCTGTGTGGATTTTTTTTTTTTAACATGTTGGCTGTTTCCCACAGAAGCAGGGTGACCCAAAAAGAAAGAAAAAAACTTTCATCATCATTCAACATTTTCACCATCATTCATACACCATCACTGTCTTTGCAGAGGCTCCCAGATACAACAGTTTAGATGTCCCTTCAAACAGCCAATATCCCAAACTCCTCCTTTAAAGTGCAGGCATTGTACTTCCCACCTCCAGGACTCAAGTCCAACTAACCGGTTTCCTTGAATCCCTTCACAAAATATTACCCTGCTCACACTCCAACAGGTCCCAAAAACCATGCGATTAATTGTGTATGAACAATAATTTGAGGTGATTTACCTGCATAGCAGCAAATTCATCGCCATGTTGAAGATATTTCTTGAACTTTGATGAAGCACTTCCCATTCTCTTGTGTGCTCAGTGCAGTCCCACTGCTTGCTGCTACCCACTGCCTGCTGCTACCCACTGCTTGCTGCTATCCACTACTTGCTGCTATCCACTACTTGCTGCTACCCACTGCTTGCTGCGACCCACTGCTTGCTGCTATCCACCTCTTGCTGCTATCCACTGCTTGCTGCTGTCCACTGCTTGCTGCTATCCACTGCTTGCTGCTACCCACTGCTTGCTGCTATCCACTGCTTGCCACTAACCACTGCAAGCGCTCCACCACTGTCAGACCCACTGTAGCCACACCACCATCCCTCTCCTGCCCACTGCAAAAAAAAAAGATTTAACTGTAATGGGTTACAATGTTAAGACATAAGTCATAAATAATGGAACTATCTGAGACATGGGTCAGAAATAATGGAAGTATCTGAGTCATGAGTCTGGGACATGAGAACAAACTGAGACATGATGAGAGTCACAGGGTAACATCACAACTGTGGTGTTACACTGACTCTGGTCAGTGCTACAACAGCTGTGGTGTTACACTGTGACTCTGGTCATTGATACAACTGTGGTGTTACACTGTGACTCTGGTCATTGATACAACTGTGGTGTTACACTGTGACTCTGGTCAGTGCTACAACAGCTGTGGTGTTACACTGTGACTCTGGTCATTGATACAACTGTGGTGTTACACTGTGACTCTGGTCAGTGCTACAACAGGTGTGGTGTTACACTGTGACTCTGGTCAGTGCTACAACAGCTGTGGTGTTACACTGTGACTCTGGTCAGTGCTACAACAGCTGTGGTGTTACACTGTGACTCTGGTCATTGATACAACTGTGGTGTTACACTGTGACTCTGGTCAGTGCTACAACAGCTGTGGTGTTACACTGTGACTCTGGTCAGTGCTACAACAGCTGTGGTGTTACACTGTGACTCTGGTCAGTGATACAACTGTGGTGTTACACTGTGACTCTGGTCAGTGATACAACTGTGGTGTTACACTGTGACTCTGGTCAGTAATACAACAATTGTGGTGTTACACTGTGACTCTGGTCAGTGATACAACAATTGTGGTGTTACACTGTGACTCTGGTCAGTGCTACAACAGCTGTGGTGTTACACTGTGACTCTGGTCAGTGCTACAACAGCTGTGGTGTTACACTGTGACTCTGGTCAGTGATACAACTGTGGTGTTACACTGTGACTCTGGTCAGTAATACAACAATTGTGGTGTTACACTGTGACTCTGGTCAGTGATACAACAGCTGTGGTGTTACACTGTGACTCTGGTCAGTGATACAACAACTGTGGTGTTACACTATGACTTGTTAGTGCTACAACAGCTGTTGTTCTGTAAGGTTATTCCTGCAAGCGTGCTCTGTGAGTGAATGTGGTTTTGCCAAATTCTCCCCTTAATTCATGATTACTGCTGAAATTCATGATGAATGTTACACCTAGGAAGTGTGCAAGTATTGTAGTTCTTAGAAAACATGCTGATTTGAATATCAGATAGATCACCGAAAATTTGAGCCTAACAAAGTCAAGTGTTGATGGGATTCCGAAAAGAGCTGATGACACTGGCGATTGTGAAGAACTGCATTGAGGAAGATGTGGAAGAAAATGCAAGATAACACCTCATGATGACAATGTTATCATAAGAAATAGTGTGAAGGATCCCAAGAAAACCAGCAAAGATCTACAGAGATTTGCCATCAGCTGGAGTAAATGTTGATTCTTCAACTGCTTGATGAAGGCTCCTTGAAGTTCACAGAACTGCCAGAAAGCTAGTAAGAAACAAGTAACTTCTGCTATGAAGAAAAAAAATGGCTATGGTGGACACTCGATTATAAGGGATGGACGACAGATGACTGGAGAAAAGTTATATTTTCAGATGAGGTGCATTTGGAAGAACAGCCTCGCCTCACTTAATAACCAAGTTTTGTTTCTAATAGTAGGTTGGTAAGTGAATGGGTCATTAAGCCAGAAGCAAACTGTACTAGTAGTGGGTCTATGTCAATCATCTCTAGATATTTTGTAATATCAGCTTTGCAATATTTATAATACTTTCAGTATACGTACTTTTAAATGTTTATAAAGTAGTGTACTGTACAGTACTGTAATAAACAGAATAGAGGAAATCACCCCTAATATACATTACGTAGGTTTGCATATTGGTCGGAGAGCTGGTTGTAACTCTGAGCAGTCAGTAAATACGTTGCCAAGTCAGGAGTGACTGAATGTGAGTACAGATAAGCACGACCTATGGGGGTGGGAAAACAGCCAGTACATTGGTCCAGGGCTTGGCTGTGAATTGCTTAAGGGGCTCCATTGATGTTTCATTTTTACTTTTTATTTGATTTTTTGGTAATTTCAACTACTTTCAGTTTATTTAGAAAAATAATTATGTAAAATTCACTTACACTGGGGCCCTCAGCCTGCCTCCAGAGGTCTCAGCCACCCCCAGAAACCTCAGCCTCCCCCCAGGAACCCACCCTGCCCCCAGGGGCCTCAGCCTGTCCCCAGGGACCTCAGCCTGCCCCCAGGGACCTCAGCCTGTCCCCAGGGACCTCAGCCTGTCCCCAGGGACCTCAGCCTGCCCCCAGGAGCCTCAGCCTGTCCCCAGGGACCTCAGCCTGCCCCCAGGAGCCTCAGCCTGTCCCCAGGGACCTCAGCCTGCCCCCAGGGGCCCCAAAGCAATCTTGTTCTACCTTGCAAAAATTTCTCTTTGGAGATCCTTCAGATCAATGTTAGTGAGACAGAGAAATGGCAAACACATTCAACAAGCACCAAAACACCCACCACAGAAGATGTTTTAAGGTAGTTTTACTGCTAAAGACTCTGAACTAGGGACTAGTCCCAAATTTGCACATGAAAATCACTCCCTACAAAAGGAAAAGACTCGGCAGGAGATGCAACATTCCCCCAATGAAAAGCAGGGACGCCACGAGTATGCTGAGAGACAACACAATAAGTGTCAGGGGCCCAACACTGTTCAACTGCCTCCCAGGATACATAAGAGGGATTACAAATAGACTCCTGGTTGTCTTGAAGAAGCACTGGACAGGCACCTTAAGTCAGTACCTGACCAGCCAGGCTTTGGTTCATACGTCGGTTTGTGTGCGGCCAACAGTAACAGCCTGGTTGATCAGGCTCTGATCCACTACAAGACCTGGTCACAGACTGGACCATAGGGGCATTGATCCCTGAAACCCTCTCCAGGTATACTCCAGGTATGCCATGCTTCCAGAAAAATACTGACATTCCTCAAAGAGACTGAGCTAAGCATTCTAAATTGGCCTGGAAACTCTCCTGACCTCAACCCATTTGAGAATATACGGGCAATAACCAAACAAAGGGCCATGAAACAGGACTGTTCAACTGTGGAGAAGCTCACTGCTGCTGTTATTATCACCTGGTACCACAATGAGGAACTTGCCAAAATGTGGACCATGAAACAGGACTGTTCAACTGTGGAGAAGCTCACTGCTGCTGCTGTTATTATCACCTGGTACCACAATGAGGAACTTGCCAAAATGTGTTCAAAATTGGTTGATTATATGCCAAAGCATGTAGCAATGATTATAAAAGCAAAGGCTAGTCATATCTTTTATGAAATCAATTATCTGTCAAATCACTGCCATGTATTTTTCAAATAAACATTAATTTTCCGAATGAATGTCATATTTCATCATTGTCCCAATTAATAGGCAGACTACTGTATCAAGGAAATGGTTCAGGTCAAAATTAATACAGTGGACCCCCGCATAACGATTACCTCCGAATGCGACCAATTATGTAAGTGTATTTATGTAAGTGCGTTTGTACGTGTATGTTTGGGGGTCTGAAATGGACTAATCTACTTCACAATATTTCTTATGGGAACAAATTCGGTCAGTACTGGCACCTGAACATACTTCTGGAGTGAAAAAATATCGTTAACCGGGGGTCCACTGTATTAGAATTTATTGTTCAGTATATGTAGGATGTACAGTAGTAAGAATGCATGTTTTGTAGAGTGAGTTATCAATATTTACCAAGACAATAGTGATGGTAGTTGTGATAGTTGTAGTTGTGGTTAATGTACTAGAAACAACACAAGTGGTGGTAATTGTGGTGGTGGTTGTAGTGGAGGTATTTATCATTATTTACTAATAATGGTGGTAGTTCTGGTGGTGGTAGTTGTAGTAATGATAGTTGTTGTGGTAGTAGTTGTGGTAGTTGTAGTTGTGGTGGTGGAAGTTGTGATAGCTTTGGTGGCAGTTGAAGTTATCAATATTTACCCAGATAATAATGGCGATAGTTGTGTTGGTGGTAGTTCTAATAGTTGTGATAGCTGGGGTAGTTTTGCTAATGGTGGTAGTTGTGGTCATAGTTGTGGTCATAGTTGTGGTCATAGTTGTGGTCATAGTTGTGGTGGTAGTTGTGGTGGTAGTTGTGGTGGTAGTTGTGGTGGTAGTTGTGGTGATAGCTGTGGTGATAGCTGTGGTGATAGCTGTGGTGATAGTTGTGGTGATAGTTGTGGTGGTAGTTGTGGTGGTAGTTTTGGTGATAGTTGTTTACCTGGAGTTTACCTGGAGAGAGTTCCGGGGGTCAACGCCCCCGCGGCCCGGTCTGTGACCAGGCCTCCTGGTGGATCAGAGCCTGATCAACCAGGCTGTTGCTGCTGGCTGCACGCAAACCAACGTACGAGCCACAGCCCGGCTGGTCAGGAACCGACTTTAGGTGCTTGTCCAGTGCCAGCTTGAAGACTGCCAGGGGTCTGTTGGTAATCCCCCTTATGTATGCTAGGAGGCAGTTGAACAGTCTCAGGCCCCTGATACTTATTGTATGGTCTCTTAACGTGCTAGTGACACCCCTGCTTTTCATTGGGGGGATGTTGCATCGTCTGCCAAGTCTTTTGCTTTCGTAGTGAGTGATTTTCGTGTGCAAGTTCGGTGCTAGTCCCTCTAGGATTTTCCAGGTGTATATAATCATGTATCTCTCCCGCCTGCATTCCAGGGAATACAGGTTTAGGAACCTCAAGCGCTCCCAGTAATTGAGGTGTTTTATCTCCGTTATGCGCGCCGTGAAGGTTCTCTGTACATTTTCTAGGTCAGCAATTTCACCTGCCTTGAAAGGTGCTGTTAGTGTGCAGCAATATTCCAGCCTAGATAAAACAAGTGACCTGAAGAGTGTCATCATGGGCTTGGCCTCCCTAGTTTTGAAGGTTCTCATTATCCATTCTGTTATTTTTCTAGCAGATGCGATTGATACAATGTTATGGTCCTTGAAGGTGAGATCCTCCGACATGATCACTCCCAGGTCTTTGACGTTGGTGTTT